TCTGCTAACAAAAGGAAAATGGCACATGATCATTTGCATAAATTATGCTGCTTCTGCCACATATCCAAAGCACACTGGTGAATTTGCTTGGCAGGCAAAAGCCCAATTTAATCCCTGCCCTTCCCAGATAGTGGAAGTGACATTGGTCAGGAAACCTGGACAGCTGCCCCCTCCCCTGATGATTTTTAGGCCAGCTCAGCCTTCACTGCCTGGAGCCTCCCAGATTTGTTGGATTTCAGATCCTACCAGCTCCAGCCAGAATGGCAAAAGTCAGGAATCTTGGGAGCTGGAATCCAAAATGCCTAGAAGACCCCACGCTTGAAAAGGCTGAGCTTGATGGATCAATGCATTTATTTATTTTTTCTTTACTGACCTATTAAACTGTCCAGTCACCAAGAGTACTCTGGGTATGGACAATAGATTAAAAACATAAAATACAAGTATTCAAACAAAGAAAAAAAAGCGATGTAGACTTAGACTAAAAGCATGATAAAACCAGCCTCAGAGATCAATGGTTTAACTATATAAGGCAGGTTCCTAAAGGGTAATGCAATGTCTCAACTTGTTAATACAGATGTCTGGTAGTTCTCGCATTGGGACTTTTAGCTATGCTAGGCTACAAGCCTGACAAGCTATAGACTTCTAGATATTTTGCTCTGAAGAAAGAATAACGTACTTGTCTAAGGAAATTCAATCCCAGCAGGCAGAGTTCGACAGGAGCAATGGAAATGTTTGGGGGGGGGTGTTTTTAAGGGCGAAGGAAGGATAAATGCCCTGAATCAGAAACTGCTGCAGCAATAGTCCTGAACCTATCCAGAATGGGTGCTAACTTGATAGCTAAGTTTGCTGATGAACCCCACTGGGTAAAGCAATCGAAGGATCCACCGCCCAAGTTTTCTTGGTGCTTCGTACTCAGGAAGCAGCACGAGCTTTGCAAAGGCGTGAGCTGAGCTTATGTCATTAGAACTCTGCAAAACTGGCATTACCTGGGAAGAGAAAGCCGGAAGGGCGTTTCCTAGGTCTTTGCCGTAGGAAGATCCAGTGCCGACTTACAGTGCCAGGACTGGCTGGGTGCAGTGGCTCGCCGGGGTCGCGAGATGATCAAATCTCAGGCCGTCCGGATACCGGGTGTCTGCTCTGCCACAGAACAGCAGCCCTTCACCACTCGCCGTTCAGCGAAAAAGCAAGATCAGCGAACTGCAGGAGGGCCACTCGTTTTCTCGCGCAGGGGAAGTTACCCAGGTCGGCCTGTGATCGCGAGAGCTGCTCTCTTTTTGCAGCGTTTGTATGTGTCCTTCTGGAACAGCTGCTTTCCCTGTTTGGACACAACTGCACGAAAACCGTGATGAAAATTTTTAATTTCTGCTTCAAAGTCCTTTGGCACTCCGAACACAAAATTCGTGTTGGTCCACATTCTTTTCTACAGGTTCTTTGTCCCTTTCATGTTGAAAGGTTGTTTTCATGAGAGTTTCTCATCCTGTAACAGACTGAGAAATGGTTCCCATGGAAAAGGACAGGGCAGGGCTTTATCACCTGAGAACCAGAATTTTTTAGTCCTTTTTTTATTATTTATTTATTATCGCCCCTCTCTCTCTCAAGGTGGCGACATCCGGTTCCCAGGTGGTCTTCCCTCGAAGCGCAGGCCTGCCCCAGGCCTGCTTAGCTTCAGCATGGTAGATGGCAGGCAGCGTGGCGTAGTGGTTTGGGACTCCCGTGATCCGGATTCTAGTCCCTGCTCAGCCATGGAGTCAAGTGGGAGACTTTGGGCCTGTCACACTCTCAGCCCAGCCAACCTCGCAGGGTTGTTGTGAGGTTGAGAGCAGGAGGAGGAGTGCGATGTGAGCTGCTCCTAGTTCTTTGAAGAAAAAAGGCAGTATGCAAATTCAGTAAATAAATCAGCAGTGCCCACATTGTATCACACGAGCTGCGTGGATCAGCCACAGCGCTTCCGACTTCCAACTGGGTAGCAGACTTTCTCTGCCAGGATCGCAAGGACAAGCGGCTCGGTGCAGGTCCAGCCCTTCTGAAATGCCTCCGCTCGGCTGTTGCTGCAGCCCCTTCCGCGCTAGCCTACATAAGGACGGCGCCTGGAGCTTCCCAGCCCTCTCCGCAGCCAGGCCCACCGAGCAGCGAGCGAGCGAGCGAGCGCCCCGTCGGTTCCGCGGCATTTAGAGTATCAATTATGGATGACTGAGGCGAAGTGTATTTTAACAGCAGCGCGCCGAGAAGCACGCGCCGCATCTCGCCCCAGCCCGGTGGTATCGCCTTGAGCTACGCCGGGGCTCCTTTTCAAACAAGGCATTAGTGGGGAGCCCACCGCTGACTGCAGGCATTTAAAGATCAGCGGAGGCCAAAAAAGCTTTTAAAGAGCCAGTAAAACCAGGAAGGTGGCCGTGTTCCCTGCCAGTGTCAGGACGGATTGCCATCTTCGGAGCACCACTCTTTCGGGTACTGAGTGCTTGGTGGTTTAGGCCTTGTCGTGGGGGAGAGCGAGCCACGGAAACATCTGTTTCTTTCACCTGCAAACCGCAGTGTGCCGCGAAGGAGGCAGGGCTGCTGGAAGCCGCTGAGCCCCAGGAGGTTCTGGGCGAGCTGGCTGAAAGCAGCACTCAGGGGTGGCTCTCCTGATGCCCCCCCCCCCCAGAAACAGAATATCCGAGAGAACACTTAAAAGGGAAGGGAAGGCTGCTTTTAAAGTAGGCGAAACGCCACAGAGTGGGCAGGCTTTTTGGCCTGAGTGTGTGTCCTCTTATTCTCTTACTTGTGCCACAGAAAACCTGAGATCAGGCTCAGTTCCTGCGCTGGAACATGAGTTTTGTTTTCACTGAAAGCTGGAGGACCGAACTCTTCCGACGGCTTTCTGTAAAGCTGCCCGTGCTTTGCTCGCCCCAACCTTGTGCCGCCTGGTGTGAATTAATATGTATGCGTTATAAGGACCCTGGACATCTTCCAGAGCTGTTTTATAGAACGGGGAATGCTGTGGAAAGAGAACAGTGCAGCCCACTGCCTCTCATCTTGGAAGTCCCACGGGGCCGTTACGACTCGTCTTCCTGGATGTTCTCCTCCTCCAGGTTGGCAGGGCATCCATCCTGCAAGGCCCAATTCCAGAGTCTCAGGTCTTGCTGCATAAAGTAGCACATCCACTGGACTCATGAAAGAGAAAGAAAAACCATGCATGACTGCGCTCCGCTTTCTCACGGCATAGCCCCGGCCCCATAAATGCATATGTGGGCATCTTTGTCCCACTGGGCCTCAATGGCAGACGGAGCTGCCCTCACCATTTTAATGCTCATTTTGTTGATATTGCCTGCCATCATTTCTGACTTTTGGCTCCCCGGCGCATGAATGCATTCATACGTTTCATGTTCTGCGATCCAGTCCTCTGTGCCCATCATCCACTAGACTTCCTTTCCATTCTGATCTAGTGGCACCATTACTCTTCCCCAGCTGAGTACCTTCTGGCCCAGGAATCTCATCTTCTAGCACTGTCCCTCATTTGATTTTGAACTGTTTCATCACAAGGTTTACAAAGCAAGAAATACTAAGTGGCTTCTCATTACCTCCGTTTCTACTTTACCCTGAGCATCTTTGCCATTGTCAGTAAATATTCTTCCCCAGCATTGCCTTCGACTACCAGTGCTGTTCTCCAGGAATCTCTGTCGTTGCAAGAGATTCCTTTTGCTTGTGTGTGAACTCCCAGCAAGTGTTTAGGCGTCTTTCCAGACTCAGTCCCGTAGAGGTTCCCTTTGATCTCTTTTCCAAGAGTAGTGTAGAGGTAGCACATTCTGCTCTAAAAGGACCATTCACAAGACACAGTCATACTCCATAAGGTCTCTCAGCAGCTCTTGACCCAAGGTAGTGAAATGGAAGCTCTTTCTACAGGGCGACTGTAGTCGAGGGCCATTGCTTTCACTGGGCGTGTGTGTGTGCGTGCACGTACATGTGAAAAGGGATTCAGCACAAAAAATCGGGCAGCTTTCTCAGCATTTCTGGCTTAGAGCTATAGCAGCTGCGGCCTGAAGTCAGTTATGGTTAAAAAGGGGGGGAAAGCCAACTGCCTGGCAGCACATTGGTAAAAATCCCTCCCAGCCTTCTCTAAGAGAAACAACACGAATTTTGGGATCCTGTGTAGGAAAGGAGGAAAAGACACACGCATCATTCTCGGTCTCCAGAAGGCTTGTACATTCCCAAGAAAATACAGGATAACAGTTCATGGCTGAGCTGGGAGCCCTTTGAGCTGTATGTGTACATCTCTAGACCCCTGTCCGTCTACATTTGATTCCAAAGCAAGCTTTTAGAGAGTTCCCATTTCTTTCTGTTGGTGGTATTCATTCATGAATGATGATAAGGTTCAGGATGGGGGCCTGTTATTTCAAGTTGAATCCCGAAGAACCATGTCAGTCACTAAATGTGGTGGGTGAATGCGTTGGTTGACTATTTGAAGGTAAGTCCAAAATCTTCCCTTGCTGGAATCCCACGTTGAAATTGGAAGTCGCAAGTTTGCTCATGGATGAATTTTAATTTTTAATTTAGCTTGAAAACCTAGATTCTACTTTTCTCAAAAATGAAACAAAGACTTGAAGGGAGGAAGTATAAGAATATAAAATGCCAAGCAATGAACTTCAGAAGCTTTTGAGTTTTGCCCCTCTCTCTGTCTTTAACAAGCACACAAATTAACCAACCATTAACATGGAAATAATCTTTGCAGGCAAATTTCACGTTCGCTATTATGTGAAGAACGGCACAAGTGCTTTTTCTTATCTAACATCACACTTATGTATTGATTTCCTTGGAATGGGTGTTAAAATATATAGAATTAAGTGTGGCCTTAAAGTGTCCAAACACATAGTATGCACACATGTGTGTTCGCTCCACACATGAAAGTGATTCTAAACCTCTCCCATATAGTGGTGCTATTATGGATCCACACACTAGGGAACTTAATACTCGAGCGCATGGCTGGAGTTTTGCTGCTGATAATTTCCATTTTATGTTTTCAGAGGCCATGGTTAAAGATGATATGAACAACTATATCAGTCAATACTACAACGAACCCAGTAGTGGTAAGTTTGAATTTTGAAACTTTGACTTCAATGGATTTGCATCTACTTCTTAGTGGAGGCTAAGATGATGAATCATGAAGAAAAAGCCAGAGAGAGAAATCAGACAATTGGAGAGGCCTCCTTGGAGCTCCAGAGCTTGGATAGGACTCCAAAGAAAGGCTTGATTCCTAAATTTGGGCTGATCCTACCTGGAAGTGGCATCGACAATTTGTAAATCTCTTTAGTTAAAGGTAGGGCATATCAGTCAGTGAAAAACATTCTGCGTAAAGTCACAGGCAACCCCTTTTTTATTATCCATACATTCCGAGACCAACCTCTGGGAATCATAAACAGGTTCTGGGCCAAGCTTTCTTTGTTTATTAAATTTAGTATCACTGTACAGCCTAGACTCCTCAGGGAATGCACCAATACAAACAAAATAAGAGCGATAAAATCTTTAATTCCAAAAATACAATGAATCACAAGTACAATGTAACAGCAGAAATTTAACTTAAAACCATTTCAAATCAGAGACTAAAATAAGAAAGCGGCAGATACCCAAAACTAAAACAAGCACATAGATAAATGAAGTTGAAAAACACAACTGTAATCCACAATGCAATATACAAAGTGAAATATAATTGAGCAAAAGGGCTTAAGAGAATGAAAAGGGCTTTTCTTGGTGCCAAAGATTAAAAAGGGTGGTGTTAGGCTAACGTCTGTAAGGACACAAAAATAGACAGGCTAAGTGTCCATCGTACACTTCGCTTCTGTGAGGTTTTGCAAGAGCAACTTTCCACTGGACTTAAGCCTCTCTCATCCAAGAGTTTCCGACTGGTTTCTAGTAGGGACCTCTCGAAACCTCTGTGGCTGAAATTCACATGAAAGCCACCCAGAATGAAGATCCAGGTGCACTTCGATGTCTGAATTGTTCTTTTTAAGAAGACTGTGTCTCAAATGGAAATGGGGGGCGGCAAACGTCACTCCCCGGGGAATCAGTGCGTCAAGCTAAGAAAGCCCTCATGCTGAGAAGCTTTTAAAGGGGTTAAATGAAATGAATGAAGGATAAAACAACTCAACACCAGAGAAGACCAACATGAGAGCGGCAGTCACTAGGTCATATCCAAATGGATTTCCCTCCCTAGGCTTCTGCCTCGTACATAGAAAATCCTTACAGCATAAAAGGTTGGCAAATAGCGTTGTGAAATTTCATATATCACAGGCAGCCATTTGTTCACCTTTTTGCTTTTAATGGCCTAGAGTCAAAGCAGCTTGGCAGATTTGGGGGCCAAATTGCATTAGGAAAACTTCCTTTTTTTTGTTCCCAGTGGAGTGTTTTTAGGGGCTATTCTGGTTTCCAACCAAGATCAGAAGAGAGATCTCTAAATTCTAAGTTCTGCCACAAAACCTTCAAATTCTGTAGACTAAGAAAAATTTAACAAGGTTTTTATTAATTTATTTATTAAAACATTTTTATGCCACCCCATTCACCGAAGCCTCGGGGCGGCTTACAACAATAAATAAAACCACATAAATTAAAATAGACATATTAAAATACTAATAATAATTTAAAATAATTTAAAATACAATATACACACAATATAAAATAAGCCACCCTGGCCAGATAAAATTCAGTAGTATTAACATTTAAAATGTTGCTTAAATAAAAAGGGCTCCCGGAGAAGGGCCTCTCCCGCCGATCTCAGGGGGCGACTGGGCATATATGGATGTATAGGTTCAGCTCTCATAGGGCGGTTTCTGTCTCACAGCTGAACCAAGAGTTAATTCTTTCCATGCCTCTAGTACAACCCTAATAATGAAAGTATTAAAATGCAAATCTCGCTGCACTTTGAAGGCTGAAATGTGAAAGCTAACTTCCAGATTTCGAAGATCTGTGTGCTTCCACTGTGACCTCATCAGGTTTGCTCCACGGACACTGATGTGGCACTCATTTTGCCCATTTCCAAAATGTAACTGAATGAAACATGAAGCTGTTTTTGTGATGTTTTAAAGCTTTCACAGGTGGTTGCTTAAAAATAATAATGGTCAGCTCTCTCTTAAAATAAAACAAGAACTTGGCTTAAGGCTAGGCAGAAAGCATGCCTTGGGCAAAGGGGCAGCTTAGGCCTGTGCTGAGGGGGACTGGGAAATTCCAGCCATCTCATTTAGATACTCTGTAGATGTCTGTACTGATGACAAGCAACATTTTCATGTTTGTCTTCATAAGCATGAGGACTAGCCACTTCCTTAAGAAAAGAAACCAAGTTCCCAAACATGCCTCTGGCTGCAACCCTATTCAAGTTCCCCAAAATTAAATTCCACTGGGATCGCAGGTATTTGAACTATTATTATGATTATGATTATGATTATGATGATGATGATGATTATTATTATTATTATTTCTATGCTGCCCCTTGCCAAAGCCTCGGGGCGGCTTACAACACATAAAATACAGTAGAACATAATAAATTACCACTAAATACAAAAATACAAAAAATACACTGAGATACAAACATAATAATATAAAATTAAGATTAACAGTATAAAATAAGTAAATAAAGAATATAGGAGGAGAAAAGAGAAGGAAGAAGAAGTTGCCCTGGCCAGATCATGTATTTTAACAATTAAAATGACGTTTAAATAAAAAGGTCTTTACCTGGCGCCGAAAAACCAGTAACGACGGTGCCAGGCAGACCTCTTTGGGGAGCACATTCCATAGATTGGGCGCCACCGCAGAGAAAGCCCTCCTCCGAGTACTTACTCTCCTAATTTCTTTCATGGAGGGTTCCCGGAGAAGGGCCTCTCCCGCAGATCTCAAGGGGCGGTCGGGCATATACGGACGTAAGGGTCATGTCTCCTGGCTGTAAGCCATCCTGAAGTGAGGAGTTTGTTTCTTACAGAGAGAAACCATATCCGAATGTCTAGCGATTACACCGTCAAGCCTCTCTTCTCGGCCAGATGCCAAGATTTTGCATCTCATAGATGCATTTATTTATTTAAAATATTTCTACCCGTCCTGTATGAAAATTGTCCCAGGACACCTTAATTTTCACAGAGGGGGATGGCTCTCGGAGGCAGGCCTTGCTTCCCAGGAATGCCTCTCCGGACAGCCGGAACTGCTCTGTCCGCCAGCGCCCGAGGGGGGGGACACTGTAACGCTGTGCGCCTTTTGCTCTTTGAACACAGACAGTGGCGTTCCCGAGGGGGGCATCTGTATCATCACGACGGCCGCCATTGACGTGCACCAACCCAACATCTCCTCCGATCTCTTCTCCGTAGAAGTGCCCGTGAAGCTCCTGGGGAACAGCGGACTGTCCACCAGCGTCGCCTCCAGGTCCACGGGCAGTTCTGTCACCCGAGCCCAGAGTGACAGCAGCCAGACCTTTGGCTCGTCCACAGACTGCAGCACAACCCGGGAGGAGTCGTCGGAGTATTGCCCCTTGGAGCGGGCTTGCCACGAAGCCCAGCGTGCTCAGGTGGAGCCTTCGTCCACGCACAGCAGGGTCAACCACGCCGTCGTGCAAGAACTGTTCTCGTCCTTGTCCGAGGATTCCTGCCTGACACAAAAAGGCCTCGAACTGGTGAGCCTCAAGTTTCCGAGCCCGACGGGGTCGACCAAAGGCAGCCCTGAACTAGAGCATCGGGTAAATATCTACAACAAGAAGAACCAAGACAGCTTTGGTGTCTTTCAGATAAGGCCGGTGATCCACTTCCAGCAAAATGCACAAGTGATCGACAGGTATACATCTTTGGAATCCAAAGAGCAAAGGTTAAACAGGGTCCCAGAGTCATAGGGGTTTTGAAAAACCAGAGGGTCCTTCAGAAACTCTTGCTGAGATCCTCAGAACCACCCCAGAATGGGGCCCTTTGTGTGGATTGGAATAAACTGAAAATTCATTTTTTAAAAGATGCATGAGTTGTGAGAGCCAGCACGAAAAACTTGACATTTCTACCATCTGAAGCCCTTCGGCTTCACGCCAGTAGAGATGGAGGGAGGGGAACTACTCTGTTAAAACAATGACCTCAAAGATGCATAGATTCTTAATTTTTTATTTTTATTTATTTATTTATTCGTTTTTTAGGAAAAAGCATACACAAATCCCACAATTTTTATGAACTCTGGACAATCTTCTGTCAGGTCTGGTTTCAGCAGGGTATGGTACAAGCAGATATAAACTTATCTCCTCCTACAATTTCTTACAAGTTTCCCTTTGTACATGACAGCTCTGAACCCCTTTGTATAAGTATGGCAATTATTTTTGTTCTTCCTGGGGAGAAGAAAAAATACATTTTTCAAGGAGCACTTTGAATGATGCAAATCAAAGAAATTTAAAAAAATGTGATCTCTTTTTATTTTTAGCATGAACTTTGGGGGAAAATATTTTGACAAAACGAAAGTTCTTGCCTTCAAGAAAACAGAATGAAAAGGGACATTTTACAGATATGGTTTTAATTAAAAACACTTTTTTAAAAAGAATCTTAACGCACATTCATTTTTTTCTAGCAATACTGCTGGTCATACGGAGGTAGCTTTTGATTTCATACTTATATGTAAGAAGGAATTTAAACCTACTGTAGTTTGAACCAGTTCATTTTTTTCATTTCTTTGTTGGTATGTCCAGACGAACACATTATCTTCCGAATTGCATGTGTGTGTTTTTAAAGTTACTTTGCAGACCTGGGTCAGATGAAGAATCCAACGTGGCCTTTGGTTTTTTTTGCCCCCAGCAGCATTATTTTGTCGTGCTCTCCTTTACGAGACAACTTAATAATATGATCTGTATGTGTTTACGAAGTCAAAGGAGTTCCAATGCTGTGCAGTAGTGTTTGATCATTGTCCCCGATATTTATTGATCCTATAGACTGTGTCAATAAGGACTCTCTAGCCATGACATAAGGGACTTTGTAAGTTTCCCTGCAATTGTAAGGTTAAAGACAATTGCAAGTTTAAAAACAAAATGTAGGACACCCTTTTAGGAACCAAACTGGGGCTCCTCACCCAGCCTTTAGGGGCTTGTCCACGTGAACAAAGAGCCCACTGTATTAGAATCATGACTTCAGAAGTTCACCATCATTCTGATGGTGGCTGCATTTCCCTTGGAAGGAGGCACCCGTCCCTGCCACGAGTTTATATGGAGGAAAACCTAAATAGTAACATTCTGTAGCCTTTCATGAAACGTTTAAGCATCTCATAAGGAGATTTGTGTTATGCAGGCTTTAGCAACAGGAGAAAGGACCTTGTCAGAATGAATCGCCCACCTTTGAAGGTGTGCTGCGCTTGTCAAAATTTCTATACTTCTTCATTCAAGTTACAGAACAGGGAGAAGGGTACCTCTTTGCTTCTTTGGAAGGCATCAGCTGAGAACTATCGATCGATTTCAGCTGGCTGAGAACACAGGAGCAATTATAGAACATTCCATACATTTCCTCCTTGCACAATATCAAGCATTCCTTCCATAGGTTGCCTATATTTTCTGTAACTAAATATCGCCAGTGAGAGCCTAAAAGGCAATGGTCCCATTCTGATCCCAGCAGCCGGAACAGTCTGTCAGATCCAGGTATCGCTGTGCCAGATACGCACCGTTTACTGCAAACCCTTCCTGTATTTCCTGTCTGCGGACGTGGCGGGTTTGTGCATCTTTCTGCCCCCTGGTTTCCTCCAACGTTGCGGTTTCTTTATCTTCCTAAGCCTGACCACCACAGACAGGCAGTCTCTGAGGCTTCTTTTTCTGGTTGGAGCAGCTAACAGCCACCCCGACCCTTTGAGATGTAGACTGTCCGATCGTGTCACAATCAGGTTAGGTCTACTAACTCAGAAATCCCAGGGCAGACAGCCGCTTTGCCCAGCTGATATGTATGTCATAAAGACGCAAATCATAATGGAGCAGAAGGCATGAGCACACGATAAATGAGAACTTAGTGGCCATTCAGATACAGCTGGGCTTAGTGGGAAAGAAAATCAAGAATGTGACGTGTGTCTGCATTCAAGACCTTTTCCCAAGGACCCCAACAGACCTCTGTGGGCTCGTTAGCCACAGTCTCCTGCTGAAGCTCTTGTTACAATGCTGGAGACACCAAAACTGCTAGCTTTGGTATTTTTTTAAGAACCTCAGGCGCTCCATCCATTACTTTAAAAAACCCTAGAAATATTATAATTTGAGTGCTAAAAGCTTCTGTACTTACAAAAGAACAAGTATTCTATTAGCTAAACAATATTGGAAGGTTAGCAGCTACACCTTAGAAGATAAAGTTCAGACTTAGAAATGCTGAGAACAGTAACTACAGCAAAAACAGAAGCACATGCATAATTCTGCAACTTAAGGAGGCAGGCCTGGAGGGGTCTCTGTAGTGACAACTCCTACCAGCACAGTCGAGCAAAGCATTCTAGTCGCACTGGGCACAAGCACAAGCCCAAGAAGAAATGTTTAAAAAAATTAGCACAACACTCCACCATGAATGGCCTCAAATCTATTTCCTGTCCTAATACTAGCTAGCAAAAAAATCTTTCAGGGATGAAATCCATTCCGGATGTGAAAGCCACAAGGAGGGCCTGCCATTTGGGGTATCGTAAAGAAAAAGGATCACCACAATAGTTTTTACTGCTGGGGTGGGGCAGGTGCTTGCTTGCTTTTTCTGTCCCAGGTAGAAACCTGCCGGTGTTTCCTACAGTGCGATCTGTGGGGAGGCAAGCTGGCAGCCAAAAATCTTTGGTCCACTGTGGTCATAGGTCTCTTAATTCCATGGTCTACAGCATGATAGGACAAAAACACAACTATACCAGCTTGCATATTTAGTGGATGCTGATGCAGCACCATTATTTATAGTCTAAGTACCAAAACATTCACAAAACAGCTTTTCTTCTTCCACTTATACAGAAAATCCTGTATACAGAGAAGAAAAGCAGAAGCAAAAGCAGAAAATCCTCCTCCTGCTTATATACAGAAAATCCTCTTATGACTCTCCTGGTTTTACAAAGTTACCAAAGTTAATAACAAGACTTGTGCCTTAAAATGATTCTTAAGGTCCCTCCAGATTCTCTACCCACAAAACAATCAACAGTGTGTTAGTGGTCCAAGGATTAGTTTTAGGAATGACTACTAGCGTATTAGTGCTCTTATGAGAAGACTTACCTGCAGTACAAAATCATTAAATCAGCCACCCGTTTCAAGAATGTAAAATGCAGATATAAATGTCCATGTCTACTTTCTAAGTGCAAAGAAGTGTATTTTAAGATCAATCTCAGGATGAGTGGATTTATTCCCACATTAAACATAATACAAATGTGTCTAAGATCCATATTTATCACATAATTAGAAAAAACATTCAAGAATAGCTTGAAACTTAAAAGCAAAAATCAGTATATTACAAGAAATCATCTTGAATATACAGTTTTGGCAAATTTAACTGACTGTTCCAGTTTCATTTTGCTAAAATAAAATTTAGATTTTTGTTTTAAAAAATCATGTATTTCAGAGGTGAAGGAACACCTATTTCTGCTCAAACACCTGGATATTTCACTTTTTCAATGCTGCTGTCAACTCAGGAACAACCTGGAAAGAACATAAAATCAGCAAAGTTTAAATCTACAGTAAGATTTAGATGAATGTGCCATGAAAGTGTTATTATCAATGCTTACTATGCAACATAAAAATGGGGATTTGTGCATATAAGGAGTAATGCCTGTGGATTTCTGAACATATGTACTGTGCGATCTCAGAGTAGTGATAAATAGCACATGCATCAGCAAACCAACTAACGGGGGGAAACCCTTCGATTTTGGTTCCACACACACAATCAGAACTTAGCTGGGACCTCCCAACAGATGCGAGTGAGAAACTTAAGGAAACTGCCTTATTCCACGTCACGCTCTAAATGGCAGCAACAGTCAAGGTCTCACACAGATGTCTTCGCATCACCTGCCACCTGAGACGCTTTCAACTGGGGGTGCCAGGGACTGACTGTGTGATCCTCTACAGGAAAACTCTACGCTGTGCTCTAGCCCCTCTCTGTTCACACGGCCGACAGGCCTCAACCCACATGCTTTGGAATAACTGCTTTTCAAACTAGGCTGCGGCAGGGCTAGCAATCAACGTAAGAACACCTGCATGGTGGTAATCTATAACTTGGGCTGAAAGTGACTAGATAAACAAGCTGCGGAGCGCATGCCAAAACCTCCTTGTCAAGCCAGCTACCAAACAATGGCATAGCCAAACATTGTTTCGGTCTTTGCACAGTTCAGACCTGCTGCTCTTCTGAGAGGCACAGTTTTATCCGGCGGGCGGAATTTCGCGCTGATCTCTCACTCTGAGGCTCAGGTCAACTAAACAGAGCACTGAAGTAAGCTGTCTCCAAACGGCTAGATGGGACGGGCAAAACGAGGAAGGCAGCCAGATGCCGCATTTTCAACCAGCAGCCGTTTCGGAGAAACTGGAGCCACCGCCTTGGCACTGGTGAGGAGCCGGCCACCTAGCTCAGCTCCATCTGTGCCGCACAGGGATTCTTGCAGCCCTCGGAAGGGCAGCTAGGCATGAAAACAGGTGGCAGGGTAGGTGGCTCTCTATACCTGAAAGCCCTCGCCAGCACCTTGCGCAAAATATCAGTTACCTCGTCCTTCCAGGGGCTGCAGGATGCCTGTGCTCGGAGAGATCCCAGATGAACTCGCAAGTGATAAATACAGCCTCTCAATTATTTAAGAGATCTACATTTCCATTAGGTGGAAATAATGTGGTCGTACAAAATTTATTAAGGAAATTGTCGACATGTTGTTTCCTCCGAATGTCACTTTGTCTTCGGCTTATTAAAAGGCCCATGTTTACTGCCAAGCCAGCAGGCACGAGTTCCGGAATGGCATTAAGTGTTGGCACAGCCTCTGCAGTCTTGCCTCTGGATCTGCCAGTGCCACTTGTGGCGAGTACATGCCAGCAGAACCCCAGTGAGGACGAGGCATTCAAAGGGGAGAAGGCGGCAGAGAGGAGCATGGGTAGCGGAGCCGCTCCGGCAGCACCGGCAAGCTGGCCGAGCACCGCGCGTCAATATGGCGCGCGATTTTCCGCACCGCGTTCTGGGGTAGTTTTACTGGGAGAGACTCGCACGCCTAGCTCCTGGTACAGAAATGGTGCTGTGAGGCGAAGCCTACATTCAATTTTTGAGCAGGTTAGTCTGCAAGGGTGAAGCGTAGCGGCGTAATTCAGCCGAAGAAAGCAACAGAGTGTAACTTTTGGCTCTGGCTCTCCCCACCATTGGCTACAGGCTCCAGCTGAGGCTTCCTGTACCTCAGCAGCACTTCCTGGTAAACAGGTACCCCTGCCCTGATCTAGACATAATGGGAAAGGGGAGGCAGGAAAGCTGCTCCCCGCTGCCTCCCTTTCCAGACTCCTCCCGGTAGGAAGATGCCTTTGTAGTTCTGCCTCCCGACAGCTGCTGAAGAAAGGTGCGCCCGCAGGGTTGCGAGAAGGGCCCAAATGGTTCTTTACCCAGTCAGAGCCTCAAGATTCAGGGAATAAAGGGTCGAAATGGACCCTCCTTCGGAGCTTGGTCAACTTCCTGGAGAAAGGGCAGAATACCCTCTGCAGCTTGCACGCTGCAGTGCAGGAGGAAGGGCTGTTCACACCTCCAAGTAGAAGGATTTGGCCATCGCGGATCAACATCGCAAAGCCTCACCGTTGGCAAGCTCATCCATCCGCTCATCTTCGATTTGGTAAAAGAACCTTTCAAAACCATCTGCCCTCAAGGGTTGCTGATCCTTAAAGCCTTTCGACAGTTAATACTGACTTCGGCCAAACCTTTGCCGAGGAATCGCTAGCACCCCTCTGTGTTGGACGAAGCCCTTGCCAAGCCGGCTTTTTCGGGTCCTGGCTGATCAACAAGGTCTGCCGCATGACACAGCTTCAGGGGCTTCTCGGAAACCAGGTAAGCACACGAGACTCTGGCATCTGGGACCAACATCGGCCTTCACCGCGAGCTGCTTGACTTGGACTGCGGTGGCTAAAGGCAACAGGTGGAGAGCTTGCAGCACGGGGTGCAGAGGGGAGCAGCGGTGCAGTCGCCCCACCACCAGTCGCAAACAGCCACCGACAAGTCCCGGTTCGAGCGCAACCTGAACCCTAAAACTTCAGGGGGTGAAGACGTTCCCCCCCCCCCCCCCGCCTTATGGTAAGCTTTGCTCACCTTAAACAAGTCCGCGACCAAGCCATAGTCTGCAACTTGGAATATCGGTGCTTCGGGATCCTTGTTGATTGCTACTATGGTCTGAAAGACAGAATGAAGATGGATCAAGCAAAGACGGCAAATCCTTGCGCATTTCTCCCTATGGTACCAGAAGAACAGTTTTTCGGCTACCGACCGGGGCTGGAGCAAGCCTCTTCGCCATCCATGAAAACAGGAGTAGAAGAACCGAGCCCCCAAATGCCTCTATTTCTGTCTTCCCTCAGAACATTTGGCAATGCACACGCCACGTAAGATCTGGCCTAGCAGCCTTTCTCAAGAAGCAATTCCTGACACACGAGACGAGCACATGTAGCCGAGTGCTCCATTTCTCCACTGTCACGGCCTCCTCCACCGCCATGCCCTGCAGAGATGCTGGACTACATCTTTCATCACCCTCAATGGGCGTGACAGCTCAGAATAACGGGAGTCGCCATATCCGGGTGCTTGCTCTGTTTGGGCTTCAGCCCTGACCGCCACTGGAGGGCGACCCCAAGAGCTTCTCCAGCACTGAGGTTGTCCCTCGGACCAAAAGCGTTTCCCCACTCCTGCTTGAAAAGGAGCAAAGCCAAACCTGACGACAAGTCCAGCCGAGCATCCATTTCTACAAAGCCGAGAGCCCAAAAAGCTTTACGGGCTGATCACTGGCAGAGCTGTAATAATATTAGTGAATGCAATTATAGCATTTTTTTAAAGAAGGAAAGGGAATTTGATTTCTATAACGGGAGGGAGAAGAGCAGACATATTCCATTCTTTACAAAAACTGATTTTCCACCTTGTTGAAGTACAAATAAATTATACATTTTACTTGCAGAAAGCTTCGTGGACTACTTTCAAAAGCATCCTCAAAGTGAGCAAGTTCACAGTGCCAGATAATTCACAGTATAGGGGGGCGAATCCACTCAAGAGACTGTTGCCATGGTTACTAAGGGGGGCTTTCTTTCACATTTTATATAAATCTGCTCTGTTCAAACAAACGCAGCACCTAATGAGTGTTGATCAACACAGAAGTAGGCCACAGGTGAAATGGGAGTAGAATCAAGTTTAAGCGCTAAAACTATGTTCCGTGAGTTTAAATATACATTAGCGGGAAAAAGCACCGCCGTAACAGGTCCACTTCAGCAGCAAAGCAACGGGCTGAAGTAGCCTGAGTGGGTGGAGTGATTCGAAATCTATTCATATTACATGCCAAACCTTAAACAATTTCAGGCACATGCCTAGGAATATTTTGACCAAATTAGTCCTTAAATTCCCAGTCAGCCATGAATAGTCTTCTGTCGAACTAAGCAGAGCATTATGCCCTTCGTATGTTACCGTCAAAACATGCGACGGCGTCATCAGCAGCATTCTGTCCGTGGGGTCCCACATTAGACGAGCCAGTACAGTCTGAGTGGAGAGGAGAAGGGCAGGATGCCTGCCTAAGCCCAGTTGTGTTGCTCACACTGAAATACGAAATGTGGCCCACAACTTATACCACAAAACTCTCTACCGGGAGAATGAACTAAGGCGCACAGGCTAAATAAAGCAAAGCCTGCTTTATCTTTGGGGAACTGATATTATGGAAGAGTTTACAACAGAAGACACATAGTCAGTATGTTTAAATAAATAACTATATGGTGGCTTAGCCTGTTATTTCTGGATAGATAGGACCTACCCTACAGTTCAAGCTAATCAAATGGTAGGGCAGAGACATTAAAGGTTGATTAATACTGGGCACAAGTTCCTTAAGAAGATACAGACAATACTTTACAACACAATGTAATGAAGATAAATGCCCCGCTTCACCAGGAATCGTCCGTTCAGCTCTTGACTGGCAAACAGACCTCGATTTCACAGTGGAATCTACAGGATTCCACACCTTCCTCCATTCTGCTTCCTCTGCTCTGGCATCACCGCTATTTGTACTATGGGAGCCAAGGAGCTGCCGTCCTCGGCAGGCTGATGCAGGAGACCCTCCTGTGTTGAGCCTGACTTGTGCCCAAGTCGGTGCACAGCCTGTGCGTTAAAAGTGCCACGGCCACAACGCAATGAGCTGTTGAGCAGCATTTCCACGGGCAACTGAGCCCGTCCGGCTAGCCCAGTGCGGAGAATGCTGACTGGCAGAATCCTCCTGGGATTCGCACGGGCCTCTTCGCGCCTCACCTGAAGATGCTGGGAAGTGAACTTGGGAACGTCTGCAGGCATGCAAACATGCGCTCCGCCACTGAGGTATGTCCCTTCCATTCGGAGAGACTCCGCAGAGCAGATGTCGCACTGAAAGGAGTTCTTATGCTGCAGGGCCCACTGGGCCCCACTGTACAAGTGAGGAGGCATTTAAATACAATTTTGCCCATGCAAAAGCTCTTTACAGTTGTCACTGGAGGGATCCAGGATTTCCTCTGCCCTGCATTTGTGCTTCGGTTGCTGAAAGCAAATTCTAAAATGAAGAACAATATTCTAGCGCATAGATTTGGTTCTTTGCCTAAGTGGCTCAGGAATTGCTATGAGTGAATGACAACAGAAAATAATTTATCTTTAAATTTCAAAGGTAAAAGGAAGATAAAAGATATACTGAAGAAGGAGGAAAAGAAGAGAGAGAAAAGAAAAGTGGAGCATACAGAACAAACAGATTTGCTTTGCAGTCTGTAATGTTTCAGCCCCCCAAAATGCTATGGCAACACATTAAATTGCCTCCTTAAAAGGTGTCATTTTAAAAATATAAACCAACTTCTCTTAGTGATACAGAAGGAAAGCCTTGAACTGAGGACTGAACAGGTCACGCATTAAACATTTCAGGTACGAAGGAGTTAAGCCTTTTAATTTTTTATCATCATTTTATAATAGGTTTCCATTTAATTGGATAAAACCCGGGACAGTCAAAAGCATCTTTTACTTTATGAAGTAGCAAGGCCATAATTCAAATTGTGCTTTGTTATGCATGGATTCATATGTCAGATTATGAAATACATGAATGTGGCATTCCTATATAGGAGTCCAACACAGGCGGTTTTGTTTAAGCTATAAATCTGGGGATTGTTTTTTCTGACAAGCAGCTTGACTCTGCAATCGATGTGTTTCGAAAGGTGTCCGCTATTAATGCCCCATTGTGTGTTTTACTGCTACCGCGTGAGCTAAGGACAGCTGATTGACTTTCGAGAAACGAATCAATCTGTGATGTTCATCAACAAGATGCAGCCAGATGTTTGATGCTGCTTCCAGCTACACGCGCGTAACGAGAGCTGAGGAGGAACTGGCTGAAGGCATATGGAGTCCAGCGTTCGGTTCTCGGGGTGACCAGGCAGATGCCTCAGTGGGACAAGAGGGGAAACCACCCAGCTTCTTGCGCTGGTGGCGATATGCAGCTATCACGAGCGGGAGCCATGAACAACTGACCCCCCTGCCCCTTACCTTACTGTCCTTCATTCCAGCTAGATGCTGAATCGCTCCTGATATTCCAACAGCAATATAGAGCTCCTGAAAGAGAAAACAGTCACGCTGAAGAGCGATTCCGTCACGGGAGTGGGGACAACATTCTGCTTCAGACCTCTGCTGGATGTGGTGGCAGCATCTGGCAATGAACGGTGGGTATATTACCCCAGATTGTGGGGGGATTCAGCCTACACCCCAGCCACTTCCTGCTTCCACTAATATCCCTCAAATTGTTCGCATGGTGCTTGTACAGGGGCATTTGGGGTTGATGGAGATAAACAACCTCAAGTTAACCCATGCCTTGTTAAGGCACGGCTTGTGCACCCACAATTTATGGGCTAATAAACCCATTATTTGCTGCCAGGAACCACTGTTATTCTGAGCAGGGGGCTTAAGATGGGAGGGGGAAATGTTATAATGCTCAGTTGGTCTGTCTATCTACTCTCTCACTAACATTGCAGTCATATGCAATATCCAGCTACCAGAGGGAAATACATACAGAAGATAGGCTTAAAGTTAAGTGACCTCTAAAGAAATTTTGCCTAATACACACACACACACACACACAAACACACAAAATCAGGATTTCTAGCAGGAGCAAACTTCTCCTGGAGATGTAATGGCAGACAGACGTCTGCCCCGTATGGTGGCCCTGTAATCTAATTAAAGAAGATTAGAAGATTATAATCAGTATTACAGAAATTACAAGCTATGAGTTACAATTAACAGGAACAGCTATACTCTTGGGTGATGTCATTATTTATTTAATGAATTTATTTCATTTCTATACTGCCCAAAAGCTGAAGCTCTCTAGGAGGTTCACAACAACGAAACCATAAAATACAACCAAAGAAACAATATAAAAGTTTAAAAATTAACACTACAGCATAAATAAAAGTAAAAACCAAACCGAGTACAAGCCACCATGCAAAGTTTTAAAATGCAGTGAGAGGTTTAGAACGGAACGGCAAGGTGAGAATGCCAAGGCAAATAAACAGGTCGTCAGCTGGTGCCAAAAGAGCTCAACGGGGGTGTGGGGGGGGGGGCTGGGAAGCTCATTCTGTGCAGCAAGAGAAAGGCCTCTGCTCACTTCGCTTCCTTTGATGGGAGCTCGCAGAAAAGGACTTCTGAGGACACCCGGTAGTCTGGGCTGAGGGGCTCGTCCCGGGTCACTTCGGGCTTTGAACCTTGATACCTGCACTTTGAATCGCGTCTGGACATGGACCAGCAGCCATAATAGGACACGATCCTTTTATGCCAGACGGAAGAGTGCTGGCATCATAGGATCACGCCAGCCAGTCTTGGTTAACCATCCTGCCGTCTTATTCTGGAGGGGCTGAAGCTCCTGGACCATTTTCAAGGTCAGCCCCGTGTACAAGCCTGATCCTCTAGGGCAGGGATGGCGAACCTTTCAGAGGCCGAGTGCCCACACGGCAACCCAAAACCCACTCATTTATCGCAAAGTGCCAACACTACAATAAAACCTGAAAACTGAGGTTTTAGTTTAGAAAAAGCAACTCACAGCCGGTCCAAGCGTGCATGCATGCATGTCCTTGGCAGCACACTGACCAGCCCTGCAAAAGCTCAGAGGAGTCACGGCTAATGAGTCGCGGCTCGTGACACCATCACCTGGCACCACTACCCTTTTCTGAGCATGCGCATGGCCCTGGTGTGCGCTGGTATCCAATGCTCGGCTGCTGGGATGATGCTGGGCGACTTGGCTCGCGAGCCGAGAGAGAGGGCTCTGCGTGCTTTGCCCGCTGTGGCCCACGTGCCAGAGGTTCGCCACCACTGCTCTCGGGGGAGTGCAACCCGTCTGGGACAGGCTGCGTGTCACTCCTGCAGCCAGGAAAGCCTGGACGGAGTCCCAGATTTCTGGCCTCGTTCCAGCCATTACCACACCCGGGGCTGCTTCAGAGCAGCCGCAGCCTCACCTGGATTCAGTGACAGGGACAGACGGAGCTGCACAGCGAGAACCTCTTGGCCCACGCTGCCGGCCGCCTCCCGCATGGGGATGCACGGGGAAGAGGGCAGAACCCCTGCAAAGCACACGGCGTTCCTGCCAAGCCAGAGAGCAACAGTCCACTAGCACCACCTCCTGGAACTGGCCCTCCACATGCCTCCGACTCCCAACTATCCAGGACGCCACTGCCGAGAGTATCCAAGGTCGCAGAAGGGGCCAAGGGAATCAACAGAGCTGCACTCCTGCTACCCCATTCTCAGCTCAGGAGAGCCAGTGTGGCGTAGTGGTGAAGAGGATGGGACTGGGACTCAGGAGATCCGGGTTCGAGTCCCTGCTCAGCCATGGAGCCAACTGGGTGACTTTGGGCCAGTCACGGACTCTCAGCCCAGCCTACCTCACAGGGTTGTTGTTGTGGGGATAAGATGGAGCAGGAGATATAAGCTGCCTTGAGCCCTTTGTAGGAAAAAGGCAGGATATAAATCGAAAAATTAATAAACCGAAAACATTAATAATTAATTAATTAATGATTCCACAGGGCAATCGAGGCAGCTCCTGCTCCAAAGCCTGACTGAAATGGGCCCAGATGATCAGTTCCATTCAGGAGTGCCCAGGGCCGGCCAACAGCCACCCTCTTACCCAGGAAGACTTGCCCCCGAGACACTCCCAGGACTGGGCGAGGGGCAGGGCAGTGTTCTTGGCATGCAGAGGGAAGGATGCAGAGCAAGCAGCGTGTTCAGGACAAGGCCTCAGGAAGAAGGCTGGAAGGAGAATAAGGCAAAGACCATGGATGCACAGCAGAGAAGCAGGGACCCCACTGGCTGCCGTGAAAGACGCCTCACGGCACTGCACTTCAGGATGGCGAGTCCGCAGTGGACGGACGGATGGGCAGGTGGACAGATGGGCGGACGGACGACTATATCAATCCGCAATGGCCTGACCATGAGAGACCTGAGGAGTCCACGGGTGAAGGAAAGACGGAACGGAAGGACTTGGGCAAACGCACACATAAGGCCACGAAAAAAGTGTCAAGGAAACGCAAAGGAGCAGGCAGGCAGGGAAGGAAGGAAGGGCGGGGGCGGCGGGGGCCCCGCATCGCTTCCTGGGTGTGGACTCAAGACCCTGTCAGATTTCTGCCTGCACCAAGTTCTGATCTGTTCGGAGGCTAAACGTGAAGGCCTCGCCAGCCCCCAGATTTGCCGCTGTCCCTGCAGCGCCAGGAGAGCTCCGCTCCTTTCCAGTGTTCTGCATGCCACACTGTGAGCGGAGGTCGGGCGTCCACAGACCCAGTGGGGGGCCCGCCAGGAACAAGGCGGCCCCGGCGTGCAGGCATCGGGACGGCTGGCGGGACACGGATTGCTGCTTTCCCAGCCGGGCGTGCTCATTAGCCCAGCCGTATGGAGAAGGGGAGCAGCAGCAAGGTCTCCTCCAAGCAGCGGAAGAAACCCCCCTAGCTTTCCACCTTCAGTAGCGGAGCACCCATGCTGCAGAGCCGCCCCAGGCTCGGTCCCCAGGCAGCACCGGTTCCAAGCTGCTCTCCACTGGAGGGGCTACCCCACGGAACACCGGCTGGAGGCTTCCATGTCCCTGCTTCCTCCAGGAGAGAAACCCCCATCTCCCCCGCCAAGCCTCTCCAAATGCTGGAAGGTCAGGGTCAGGGGCCGGGCAGGGGGAGCCACAAATGATGGCTGGACAAAAAGGTCAAGCCAAGACTTGTGGGCTGCCGTCCCGGCCAATACCCTGCCCCAAATCGTCACGCGAGCTGTGGAAATCTAGTCAGCTGGACTCTCCTTTCTCTGCAGGAAGCACTGGTCAACCTAGGGGCCAACTCGATTTTAAGAGCCTAATTAAAAGTAATTAAGCCACCCCTACCCTCCAGCCCCAAACAGGGCCGTTTTACCTCTCCCATCATGCTGGAATAAGCATGGAAGAGTTCGTGTTACTACGGAGTCCACCAGGTCAAACATTTTCATCCTTTTCACTTTAAGAACTTATGTGGGGCTTTGATCAGCCCGGGCACGTGATTCCTCTTCAGAAGCGTGCTTAGGGTGTCCGCCTGAGTGCGGGGCCATAGAGCATTTCTTGTTGCTCTCCTGGGAGAAGCACATCAATTGCTTTCAGCTAAATGCACTCTCATATGAATATTTTAGTACAATTTAATGTTTCTGCACCAACCCCTGAGGAGTGGAGCATCAATTTGAGAACACCGTTCTCTTGGACTTAAAAGCCACGCTGGATAATGCAGGATGAAAGGGGCTGTCAGTCTTTCGCTTTTTCGCAAGTCAGAGAAAGAGGCTGAAAATTCAGCCCTGGCTGCCTACAAACAGCTCTTTGAAGTCCGCGGCTCAAAGAGCAACTTTTCAATCCTGTCGAGCATTCAAAGGAATTAGGCAATTTCTCAATCATGGCCAGTTGATCCCCAAACCATTAAATAATTACTAGCACTGGCTTAGCCCTTTTGCATGGGGTAGAGAACCTCAGACCTAGGGACTAAATCCAGCCCGGGGGCGGTGCAGAGGGAAGTCTGGCTCTCCCAGGTTCCCCCAAAAGCTGCATATCTTCCCTTTCCCCTCTTCCCCCATCCACCCCACTTGGTCGTGTCCAGCTCTTGTACCATCTCCCCCCATTCTAAAAAGTTGAAATGCCTCTCCTAAAGATTAGACCCTAAGGAGCTCGAGGTTCCAATATGCTATTTTGGACTCTTGTCACTTCTGCCTTTAGCTCTGGCCACCAGTGGAATGTGATCGCCAAGAGCTTCCCCGAAACGGATCTTGGCCCTTGGCCTGAAAGAGCTTCTGTCCCCCTGATTTATACAATTTATAAATTTATACAATTTATAATCAGCACGCATGCCGGTCAGCTAGGAAAATACTCAGATGTAATAGCGACACACGTCACTAATTCAAAAGCAACAGACCAGGAGGTGTGAGAGCACATTAGCTGATTATCCTATGCGATCATAGGAAGTTTGGCGCAAGGCGACTCCAGAATACACTCAGCTCAATGTGTAGTTCATTAAGCCGAAGGAATGTCCAAGCAACATCCACAACGTATGCGACTGCTGCACAACTCAAAGCAAAAGTTTAGATAATGACTCTGAGGATCCCAGGCACGAATGCGAAAGGCTAGGGCAGGCGAGCACCTAACAGGAAACGGGGGCACAGCCGCTTATTTTCAAAGTAAAAAATTCTATCCCGAACCCCACGTCATGTAAACTGGCAGGAAAGCTTCTCCACACATGCACGTCCAGCAACCCCGTGCGACACTCACCGCCCCGTCTTTGGAGGGTGACAATGAGGTCGAAGCCCAGAACCACACACACAGGGCAGGGCGAGGAGCAGGAGGAGGCCAGCACCCTTTCTCCAGCAGGGGGGCAGTGCACCAAAGGTGAAACTTTGCTCCAAGCACGGACAGAAAGCTTGCGATCCCTGGCGAAGGCGCAGAGGCATCCCTTCCAGGGCAGCGACACTCCGTTGCAGCACCGCCCCCCCCCCCCTTTCCTTTTTCTTTTCCTTTTCCACGAATGCTTGACATTCTGCGGCTACTAAACAGGTGCAGAGCTTGCCCGGCCTGAGCCTCCTCAGACCGCTTTTATTTCCATGCACCTCTGGAAGCCCTGGGCCTCCATCAAGCGCACGGCTCTTTCTTGGCGGGGCCCAATTTGTCTTTATTTCTGTCAACGCTCACCATGCGAGTTTGCTATTAGAGGGCACGATACCTTCCAGTGCATTGATGTAATCGGCTCTGTGGCAGCCAAAACCCCAAAAGGATGACACAGAAGGCCATCCCGGGTTTTTCTCCACTAACCTCTTTCTAGAGTGCTAGTTGGGAAGGAGAATTAGTTCTGCAAGAGCAGCTAAAACCAGGAAATGTACAAATCCAGCCTGATTCCAGAGTTGCTTCCCATTCCTGTACCACGGTGTATGCCGAGATGTTGTGTGGCAAGGGCAGGTTTTGCTGGCACAGCTGGCCCCAGAGTCAGCCTTTATCTATAATGAAACATTTCAAACATCTCTACTGAACCAGCATTTGGGTTTTTTTTTTTTAAATTCTCTAGTCAATGAAGAACAAGCTTTTCACCCCCAATGTTCTACTTCCATGAACGTTCCCAAAAGACCAAGCTTCAAAACCGAACACACTTTTAACATATCTGAACAAACTGGCCATTTGTGCACAATTTAAGAAGAGTGCATCTCAGGAAGGCATCTACCAACCTCTGAAGGAACCTGGCAGGCGGTTCTGCTTTTCAGAGCAATCTATGAACAAATGTTGTTAGCAGAAGAGGCCAAGGGAAAATATTCATCTTGAAATCAACAAAATTATCCCTGAAGGGAAACAACGAGGAATGCGGTGCCGTCTTCCTTCTTCCCCAGCACTCTCTCACTTCCCAACTATTAGCAGAGAATCAGTGTCATCCATCAAAACCCTTTCACTGTGCCTCAAATAAAACCCTAAAGACACAGCCCAATTCCCTATCGGGCCACTTCAGAAGCCCGTCAATAGGGTAATAAACGCATTCACGACAACTACTCTCCACCACCACAAGAAGTGAGGGCACACACTCAGTTCCTTACATCCTTTCCTCCTCCAGGCAATGTAACTAGAGATACAGGCTTAAATGCTAATCAGAATGCAATTTATTTATTCAGAAAATTTCTATGCCGCCCCATTCGCCGAAGCCTCGGGGCGGCTCACAAAGATATCAATTAAAATATAATACAATAAAATATAAAACAAGTTAACAATATAAAATAAAATAAGTCGCCCACTCCACTGGGAAAATGAGATTTACTCCCGTAGTCTGGTTTAACGGGTAGGCAAAATGCCTATCAAAAGTGAAATTCTGTCAAGTACAATCCAGATTCTTGCTAAGCATTCATTCTCAGGGCTTCCAAATCAGCACCATTATAGTAAACGTGTGTGTGTGTGTGCGCGCGCGTGTATTAGTTCATTACAAGAGCCCAACTGCATTAAAGAAAAAATGTTCTTAGCAAAGATGCTAATATGTCAAGCTGAGCTGACTAACAGTACAATCCTATACATGTTTAGGACCTGCATAAGGGCCTGCAACTCTGAGCTACGTTGCCTGGAGCTGGAAGCCCTTTTTCTGTTTAAATTTACATCGGACTGTGTCTTGAGGAATCTGGAATAGCTTTTCTTACTTCGAATGGGAAATAATCAAGCATGTGCATTGCTAAATCTTGTTATGGCAAGCCATGTTACACATGAGAAGTACCATCTCAAAGGAAAGTGTGCCAAATATCACAGCTGCGTAGACAAGAAGCTTCATAAAGTTGTTAACAGTCTTCCATATTGTGAGTACCTTACCGCCAAAATTCTGATTCTGCACCAAACAATGCTTTAAATTCAGTCTTTGGAATTTCACAGCCTCCATGATACAGTTGCATGTCTTGAGTTCATACCCTTGGTCCTTCCAAGTATTTCAGAAACATAAACATCCTGTTACAATAGCCAGTAACCTTGGTACGGACCTTATTCTCCCACTCGAATACTTTTTCCCTGTTCCAAAATGTCTTGCTATATTTTGAAAGCCGAATTCTTCTGCACTATTAGGACATTCAGTATCTTTGCCCATAATTAACACTTTCTAATTCCAAGTGCATCTTCAGCTTTTGGAAACAGACATGTAACCTAGCAAGTTATTGTGGTCCTGAGCATGTAAGAATGAAACCTCCAGCCCAAGATGCAACAGGCTGATGATATTGTCTTTAGAGCTGGAAAATGGCAGTTCCTTGCAGTTTTGAGAGCAAGAAGTCATAATTGTTACATGCCCCAAATTACTAGAAAAATAATCTCAGCCCTCAGACCTTCTTTACCATTCAAAACAAGTAAAGCAAATCACTGTCTAAACACTGTAATAGAAATGATGACAACACCAAAGGCATACTCTTAATTGAATTCCTTTGCATGAAATTCCAGGGGGAAATTAAGTGAAACATTAAATATTTCAGCATTATAGAAGCTTCTTCTTTGGCTATACTAAGCTGTTGCAGCTAGACTCAGTATTTCTCCCTTTCTTTTTCTTTCTGCTGAAAAGTTGCATTCACTAAAACAGGGGAAGGCCGTACGCTCAACTGCATTTGCTTCTCTCTCTCCGGCCCAAATTGCAGTGGCACCTCTTAACACTGTAGGAAAGTTTCAAATAATTCTCTTCTGTAAGGTCACCTGAATACTTACCGGGGCTACAATCTTGCCGGTCTGTCCAACCTGCATGTCGTTGGGCACAAAGCCGGCATCAACAGCTGCACGAGAAGCACCAACTGGGAAAAAGAGAAAAGTTGTCTCAAGGACAGCAGAAAAGTGGATGGAAGGTGTTCAGGCTGTTCTGGACAGAGCTGCACTTCCCTTGAAGGAGCAGGTTCGTCGGCAGGGGGACCTGACTATGGATTACTGAGGCACATCGTGGGTGCAGCTGCCCTTGGGAGACTGTTCAGGAGCTGCTGCTCGGGCAAAATGCGGCAGCCAGACTAATAACGGAGACCAGAAGGCCTGAGCACGTAATAGCAAATCTGGCCTGCCCGCATATGGCTTGGGACCACAATACCCGAGAGAACGTGTCCCATCTGCATTTCCTCTGAGCGCCACCTCTACGGGAGGCTTTGAAAGCGGCAACAAGGGAGGGGGCTTCGCAGTGGTGGCCCCCAAACGGTGGAACGGTCTGCCTACACAGACTCTCCTGCCACCAGCTCTATCATCTTTTCAGCATCAGGCGATGACTGCCCTGTTCTGCCACATAGTTACTGGCATTTAAGGGCAGGGAGTGACGCTTTGGACACCTGCTTTTGACAGTCGGTACTCAAAATATTTTTAGTTGTTAAGTCTGCGTTCACATTCTGTATACTGGAAGGACATTTATGCGGCTTTTATTGTACACGTGGGCCGTGTTTTTATGAATTGTTGGGAACCACCCAGAGTGCTGCAGTTACGGGGTGGTACTGACATGGAAAGAAAGAGATGGATAAATGAACCATTTAGTGCTGCATCCCAAGTGCGTTTCCATTCTTGCAAGAAGGCGTCCCTGACCTTTGTCAAGTCCCCTTCCAGCTGAATCCTGAAACATGCCTTGCACTATCTCAGAGGGTGCTCTGAACCTCAGGAGCAAACTGGAAGGCGGGAAGAAGAGGCGAGGGCTGCAGCTGGAAGAGCTGCCGAGTAAGCCCTATACTTTGACCAGACTCCCCCCCCCCCCACACACACACACACAGAGGTTGGAAACCCAGTCGATAACTCAGGTCACCATCCACAAGCCCTTTCAGACAAAAGCGTAGCTGCATTTAGTCAAATTCCACACCGTTCAAAGATATATTAAGTACTTAGTTCCATGAAAGAGGTAGCAAGCCAACTGGTACGCAACTAAGATTTGTCCATCATCAATATTTGGAGGATTCATAAAGAAGATTTTTTTTTACCTGCAGCATGCAACTGATCCGCAAGATCGTACAGCAGTTTGAAGTTGTCGCCACTCTTCAAACCACGCCCTCAAAAATAAGAGAGTAAAATCTGTTCATGCACCTTGAAATTGCAATGTGGGTCGTGAATGCACTCTACCCCTGTGCCCAGTTAATTTCTCATGCACCCTGAGAGCCAAATGCAGGCACCCCGATCAAGGAATGTGCACTTCCATGAATCTTGAGCATCCTCTGTTTTAGAGTCATTTGGCTGAGGTGACGGCTTCTGCATTATTAGAGAGGATTACTCTCTTATTCATTATCAACCATGTAATTGTTGCAAAATTCAAGGAATTAGGAAATAGCACAGTAGCATACACTCCCCTTGCTGGTTTGAGAATTATGGTTTTTCAAATCAGGAAACAGGGTGTCCCTTTTGTTGTTTTATTTTCTTGATGATGTACCGGTAATCAATTAAATATAACATAACAGCCCTTCATACCAACTACAATCAGTTGCAAAGCTGATCGTTCTTATTATACTCGCTGATAAGACAAGTCCACCCGCCTACTCCTCGGACTAACTAGATACTTCTCCATGTCCTGTTCCCCCCCCCTCCCCCCCCCCCAGTTACTGATCACAAGCCAGAATTTATCAGGCATAGTAGAAGATAACCACTAAAATCAATCAATCAATCAATCTGCAGTACTGGAAATGGAACCATTACGTCATCACAAATTACTCACCACCTGATACAACAACCTTTGCACTAGTCAATTCTGGCCGATCACTTTTTGTTAGCTTTTGCTCAATCCATTCAGACTGACCAGCAGGTGAAGGAGTTGAGACTGTTGGATAAAAACCATAAAGAAGACCCTCAGTGAATTTCCGTAAGGTGCAACCCGTTCCTCACTTTCACACCTCAACTCTGTGTTTGAAACAAACTCCTGTAACTGTTATAACAGCATTTTTGTGTTAACCAACCAACTGGCAAAAGTAGTATAAAACTATATTTAACAGTATGAAGACTAAAGAGAATGTTAATCATTAGTCTAATATCAATACAACACGCAAATATATCACAGTTTAAGCTATTGTCAAGTGGGGCCCACTTGATCTGATAAGTCTAGTCCACAAAACCTTACAACATAATAAATTGTGTTGCAACACGCTAATATGGATATATCTCTAGCTGCTGCAAATATTTATTCCCTGCCATCTTTTACATAAAACTGCTTGAGGATGGACCCTCCTAGTCATCAAATTACCTTACAATGTTGTAATACTACTTAAAACAATGCAACTTACAGTCTCTATATATTTTAACCTGCTGTCATTTTATAGAAATCACAATGTGTAGAATGCAAATAAATTTACACCCCAATATGAAAGATATTTACTCAGATTTTCCAAGAGCATTAGCAAAGATTACATCTTCGCAGAGTCCAGACGCAGTTTTGAACTGGTCTAGCCATTCAGACAGTTCGTCTACTTTAGATCCTGTAAGCTTATATGTAATCCCATCCTAGACTTCCAGCAGCATCAGAAAAAAGCATACCCAAGAGGAATACTTCAAGAACTCTGAGTGGAAAACTATCCAGGAGGGAGAAGGAAAATAAGGAATGCAGACTTTTTCTAATATAACTAGGTAACGCTGAATTGTCACTTTAACGGACAAGTTTATCATCTGACTACTCTTGTGCAAGAGACAACACTCACCTTTTTCTAGAGTTGCGTTGCCACCACTTACTGGTGCAGCTTCAAAGGAAGTACCTCGTACAGAGAAGACCTTTATTTTCTCCTCACACTTCACAGTACACAGCGCATTTCCTACAAGAAGATCACACTTTCTCTCATCACACAGCCTCCAACTCCAATAAGCTATTAGCAGAATAGGGCCTGACTGTTGCTCAAACACACCGATTTCAACGTGTAAAATTTTACAGGTGCCCCCCAGGAAAACAATACACACAGAATAGCTTCACATTTCCTTGGTGTCACTGAATAATTCTTCAGCAGGCCAGCAGATCATACTGCAAGGGGTTTGCATGTATACAGGTTCAAGACTAATCTATTAATCTACTGATAAATTCATTATGTTTCAAATCTGTTATCCATAGTTCCTTTCATTTGTAAGGTTTTACTACTGATAACAGAGGAGACAGTAGTAAAGGGATACCAGGAAGGAAGGAAGGAAGGAAGGAAGGAAGGAAGGAAGGAAGGAAGGACGGAAGGAAGGACGGAAGGACGGAAGGACGGAAGGAAGGAGATGCTTGGAGGAAAAGCACAAATGATTTTAGAAAGGGAATTATTAGCCAGTAAATCGAAGTCTATATACAATCCATCAATCTCTGAAGACAGAACATTGACAAAGGGAGGAAAGAAAACCTTGCCAAAACAAATTTAACAGACATGAAGCCTGATGCTTTCATGTCCAAATTAAATTATGGAATCAGACAAGCATGATTAGGCTAGACAAACAAGGGCTGTAAAATAATTAGGGAAAGTCAATTAAATATTACAAATAATTGTATCAATGTCTCACTAACTAAGAAAAATAACCCTATAGATTACTGAAATCAGAACTAATGTAATCCATATTAAATAAAGAGAACTATCTGAAGGGCTTACAGTTTGCAAAATCTTATCAGAAATGCATTAACAGAAATACAATACATTTGAAGAACGTCAGCAGATTCTGTTAATTAAACTGCTATATCTGGTTTCTTGGGACTTTAAACCACAATCCTTTAGTACTATGGGTGATCCTATTTGTTGTGTCAAAATAGCCTTTTGCTCTTCTCCAGTTCCTGCCTCACAAAGGGTGCACACTCACAGAAAACTCTGCACTGCACAGCTGAGAAACATCACAGAGAGCCCAAACTCACCGGCATAAACAGTCCTCACAAACGTGTCAGGAGACTTAATTTCGGTGATGTCCGACACTGGAGCAACATCAAGCTTAGCTGCCACTCTGGGAAGAAGACTCTAAGCACAAGAGTTGGATACATATATTACTAGCAAATTAGAATCCTGCAGAGTCAGTAACTTAGAAAAGTCTTCTATTAGTAATGCTATTATTTCTATACCGACCACAGCCAAAGCGCTCACAGAATCACACACTCAGGTCACCCATTCAGGGTCTAACCAGGCCTGACCCTGCTTAGCAGCCAAGACAAGACCGAATCAGGCATCTGGCCTACACAGATTTAGTCTGAGACAGGCTAGTACAGTGGTTCGGGATTCAACCTCTCTGGAGCAACAGATGCCCGGTGGATGCCTCGCAGGCTCACCTTTCCAAAGGCAGATGCTCCGGCACAGATGTGCGTGTAATTAAACTGCTTCTGAGTCGCCACAATCAATGGAGTCAGCTCCTCTGGGGACGAGACGTACTGGTCAAAACAGCTTATATAGTCTAGCACAGTGCCGACTACAACGAATCTCAATGCCAAATGGAAACTGCAAATGGGCCTCACCAGGGAGAAGGCCTTTGTAGGCATCGTGCTGGGCGACAAGGACTTTGGCAACCCCTCCCACTTTGCTCAGCTCCTGGGCCACCTGTGAAGGGAAAAGAAGCCCCATATCATTCATGTACACATGCCAAACATTCTCACTATAATGCGACATTATGGCCAGGAGCAGAATCCTCTTAAGTAAACAATATAACTAGACTGTAAACAATATGACTGCCTACCCCAAAAAGCTTAGGAAAAACGAAGACACGCTTACAGGAAAAACTACGTACGATCCTGTTCCAGCGTCCTCGTGCTTTCATGTCCTTTCCAGACACAAGCTTCAACACGAGCTTGCTGTTGGCTGAAAGCAACCCCAAGCGCCAGAAACTGAACTGCATCCCCAGACTGGCAATGCACACTGCACTCGCTCTGAGATTCTCCCACCCAAAGAATTAGCCATTTTTACTAGAGAGACCCCTGAGAGACGCGACTTCTTCCAGTCTTCGGCCTTGTTCTTTTGTGGACATGAGAAGCTGCTCGTCTAATCCTCAAATCCTGCATATATCTATATTTTCACCAACATTAAGTGTATGACAGAGATGTATGGCTAGTATGACATAATGCGGCATGTTTCCTTTGGGCTGGATGATTTAGCAAAAGACTGGGCAAATTAGGTACTCAGAGCAACGAAGGCCACAGGTCTGTCATGAGCTTCATCTCACCTGGCAATACTTACACGGGACAAATAACTAAGTGGCTTTTATTATTCATTTTATTTTTAAAAAATGAGCATGCCCAACGGCCCCCATGAACTGCGCACCTGACTCCCTCCCTCCCATCATTTCAGCAAACAGGAAGAAGCAGGCTCCGTGTTTTTACCTTTTCACAACTGGTGCCAGCTACCAAACACGAGACGTCACCTCCGAGACGCTTCGCCGCAGTGATGGTGTTTAGCGTAATGGGTGTGAGAGCTTCATTTGCATGTTCGGCTATTACCAGGGTACTCTGGAACCGATGAAGCAATGAAACCTTTAAAACAAGGAGGAGAAAAGGTTTTATCACCACTGAATGTTTATACTTAACTTTCTGTATGGACAGCTCATCGGAACTTATGCAGGCCAGCAAAGTTAGCGCAGCCAAGATGGCTTATTCAACAGTAGGTCATTTTACTGTGCTTGTGCGCTTAATGCAAGAATACTTCTGCCCCATTTTCCCCATTTAGAGCCACAATGCCCACAGCCTCTTTCTAATGCGTCATTCCAGAAATACCCGGAAGAGAAAACGACTCACAATAGTACAAGCAAGGAGGTCATGTTATTATATAACCTACTCCACATCCTCATCAGTCATTCAAGAATTTCTCCCCAGATCCGGGCAGCAGTTGGATTTCCCTTCCCCTCTACATCAGAACAGTCTGAAGTTCTGCCAGAGCGTGAAGAACTTCCAGCCCTGCTCGCCAGATTGCTTTCCCCAACATTCTTCTGCAAATGAGTAAATCCCAGACTCAAATGGTATTTTCAAGGGTCGCAACACACACTTAATGTAACCTGGATGTCTAACTGAACTTCGTTTTACGTAGGTGTTCAAGATAATTTGTTTTATGAACAATGATTTAAACTACAATTTATAACCACGAGAAGGACAGCACAGGTTCCTGTAAGATACTTCATATTCCATCTCAAGTATATTAAATCATACCAAAAAGCATACGATTTTTAAATCATTTGAAGTGAATTACCAGTAACAAATTACTTATTTCCAATATATATCAAAAACCATACTTTTGATTATGTTTCATACATCATCTTCTATAAAAGTTACAAGGTTGTAGACACTGTTTGATGAATAAATCCATGCACTCATGGCAAAGAGCCCACTTGTGCTAAAAATTTATGGTCCTGTCACCAAATGATTCAAGCTTAAGTTTCCAGAGGGAGTAAAAGGCATTTTAAGTCAATCCAATGTCTGCTGGAGAGGACCTACAGTCAAAAGGGCCCTTATTGGTTCTGCAGCAATTCGCTACCACTTCAGCATAACACATTTTCCAGCCAAGATAATCCCTATAGGATATCACCTGAAGAGCAGAATACACGTTTAGCAAAAAGTGAATAAACACCATAAATCAAAACTGTTAATTTGTTATTTACAACAGTGTAAATGTAGAGGGAAAGGGTTTGTTTGATTTGTTAATTGTTCTTAAGGTCATTCCTGTAGAAATGCAAACACTTGCTTTTCCCCATTCACCAGACACCTTCTTGTGTGCACTGACGAAAAGGGATTTAAAGAAAATCCATATTTTTAAAGTGCTCAAAAAGAACTCAGTTTTGCATTTGCCAATATGTGTTCTGAACCTCCACTGAAATCAGATGGCAGAGTGAAATAATAATTCTTTTCTGGAAGTACACAGGAAGACTTTCCTGTATTAAATTTAATATACAGAAGAAAATGTTGCTTTCAGCATAAGCAATGAACGGGCAAGCCTGACACCACACTGACGTGTTTGCATGTTGAGTGAACTTTCATGAACCTCTCACTGAAGGAGCAAAAGTGAAGTCCCATCGTGCAACAGACCCTCAGTTCCTGGTGCTTGCCATATGAAATGCGCGTACCAGCATCTGCTGGCTCTGTGCAGTGCCTGCTTGTGAACCCAGCCTCGCACCTGTGGCGAAGAGCGCACAGCGACTGCAGTGACGGAAGGGGACATGGCACAGATAGCAGAAACGGAGTCTGGAGGAAGAGGTGACAGGAGGAAAAGGCTGCCGGTGTGCCGAGTACACCACGTCCAAACTGCCACTTGGCACCGGTCCCCACATCAGGCACAGTCTCTTTATGAAGATTTAGAGATGCTGAGCTAAGCATAAGAGACTGTTAACGGCAGGAGGGTGGTGTTTCAATTTAATTAAAGACAGCTGAAGTACTGAAACGTTTGATTTTATTTCTGCCTCTCTTTCACGGGAGCTTGAAAATGTGGGAGCACATGTTATTGGTATGCGGTGTATTACATTTGTATTCCGCCTTTTTGCCAAGGAGCTCAAGGTAGTGGGCACAGTTCTGTCCCCCCCCCCCCACATACACGTTCTATTCAGGGCTGGGCAGGGCTGCACATATTTAAAAACACATCCTTTGCCCTTTCTTAATCATGGAAAAGAAAGAGGCGTGAAAATCCTAACCATGCAAGTTCAGATGGAAAAAATCTCAGCGCCCTGGAGCATGCTGGGAACTGTAGGCCCTCCTCCTGCCTAACTCTGCACAGGACTGCACCCTGGATGTGTTTCTAGCAGGAGACAGGGAAAGCATGAGATCAACCTGCCCCCTTTTTCTATTCCTTTTCTTGCACTGCCTCACTGCAATCCAAAGGAAAATACTTAAAGCAGAGGAAGAAGGTGAACCATGGCATCACCTTTGTCCCCACAGGAACAGAACCAGCCACCTATGCAAGAAAACCAAAAGGGAGGTGGAATGGAATGGACCAGGGCAGCGTTCCAAGCCGTCACGAACAGGATCATGTCCCACCCTAACTATTTGTCACGGAGCCTGTTTCCGCACATCTATTATACCAGCCAACCCCAACCTTGCGCTCTGCAAATGTCCTGGATTACAACTTCCATGAGCCGATGGTCAGGAATCCTGGGAGTTGTACTCTAAAACATCTGAATTATCAGGTTGGGAAAAGCCGTGCTATACATTCACCCGCCATTCAGCACTGAAGCAAAACATGTTCGCACATCTAGTATATTGCCTTTTTTCTCTCTAAGTGCAAGAATATCAATAATCAACATTAAAGACAGGTGCACTAGAGATGTTCTAATACGAAAGAGGACTACAAAAGAGTACCCAGGAAAAATGCCTCTGATTAACTTTTCTGTGTTAGATATTTAGTCAGAAATGTAGGCATTGATTTAATTTTGTATACCACTCCATACAAGCAAAATCCAGAGCAGTGAACAGTAAAAAAGATAAAACAGATGAAAGCATAAAAACAATGCATTAAAAAGAGAATAACATTAAAACTGTGGTGGGCCTTCAAGGAAGCCTTCTGGAACAAAAACACTGGCAGAGGTGTTGAAAACAATGCCGTGTTGGAGCCTGCTAGACCTCCAGAAGCCGGGGATGAAGCCACTGCAATAAAGACTCTCCTGGTGATCTCCAAGCAGGCCACAAGCCTTCTGATGGCAAAAGAAACATCACGAGCCGCATTTGTTCTCGGACATGATTACTAATTTGCATTCTGACAAGCTTCGTCTTCTAAGTACATTCCCATTGCTCAGCAATCAAAGGTTCTGTGTACTTCATTTTGAATCACCCCAAAGAACCTCTTGGTTCCAGTGGGCTTCATAGCCCCCAAGTACTTCATCGCTACAGAAAACGTTACACATCGTTCTGGAAGCAAGGAAATGCAACTTGATACTGAGAGTCAGCAGCTACGGAAAACTATGACAGTAAAATGTGGACGGCTGACTAGCTAAATTTATTCTACAATATTCCCTGAAGTGAGCGTTAGCATCACTCCAACAAAGTAAAACAGGGTAGAACTGAGGATTTTAGGAGCATTAAAGGGTACGACCAAATAGAGGATAGGAGGAGTAAAGGAAATCAGTTACAACCTAAACCGCAGCTTAAGCTCCACACTGGACAGACAGTAGTGATAAAAGATCCAGACATTCCAATAACTTTAATATTAAAATTTACAGTCTTCTTTTTATTCCATACCACCCTAATCTAAGAAAACGTCTCTTGAAACATTGCATGAAATCCCACATGGCTGATAGTAGAGCACTAATCATTTCTGAAAATCTGTTTTGCAAAAATTGTGGTTAATCAGCCAGTTCATTTTTTCTACTACAGCCAAATTACATTCTTGCGCTTCATCGCAATCAGTTAAACTACCAGCTATTTTGCCAAGTGAGTGATGAAAGGACGCTGTTACAGGGAAACAAATGCACATTGTGATTTCAAACACACGCTTCTATTCCAGTATTAACAAACTGTGGCATATCATATATTTCTGGTCCATTCAAGGGACATGCACACTCCTCCCTTTAACAAGTTCATGGGCTGGCTAACAACAGGTGAGTGACTCATGCCCCACTGCTGTAATATCGGTCAGTTTCTCGTGGATCGTGCAAGTTTTGCTGGGTGATCCAATTCTTACAAATGCTTAACTGGGGCTTATTGAACTGATCCCATCAGCAAACCCTTGTTTGTTTGTTTAGAAAATTTGTAGGCCATCCATCACTGTCGTCTCTGGACGGCTTATGACATTATTTCAATCCCCCATAAAATAAGTTAACTGTTCCACACTGAGCATAAAACTAATCTATTTAAAATAAATTAAATAAATCTAACACACTTAAAATTACTATATGTTAAAATACTGGTCAAATAAAAAGGTCTTGACCTGGCGCCGAAAAGCATATAATGACGGCGCCAGGTGGACCTCTCTAGGGAGCGCATTCCATAGTCGGGGCGCCACCACAGAGAAGGCTCTGCTCCCCTTGAGTTCTTAAATGTGCACAGCTGACCTCAACAGAGCTCTTGCCCAAAGTCAAACATTCAGTCCCTGGAATCTCCAACTGAAGGATTTCATGCACCAATGGTCACTAGGCCTGACAATCACATGGAACCTCCATGTTCAAAAGCAGTTTACATGCTACTAAATGATGAGCAAAAGCAGGACTCTATTGCGTCACCTATTTGAGCACTTACTGACACCTTCTGAATCTGTGGAATGCGGGTGCTCCACATTTGGGAGAAGGAAGTTTCGACTATATTTCCAATCACCACATATGGGTGTGAAAGCGGGACAGTGAAGAAAGCTGGCAGGAAAAAAACCGGATGCATTCGGAACATGGTGCTGGAGACCAGCTTTGTGAATGTTCTGGACCAACAGAAAGACCAACAAGACAGCGATTCGAGCCAGAACTTTCTCTGGAAGTAAACATGATGGAATGGAAGCTGTTATATTTCAGGCAAATCGTGAGGAGGCAAGACTCACTGGAGAAGACAATAATGCAAGCACAATTTGAAGGCAGCAGTATATAATCAGATATGAGAGGGACTGATTCTATAAGGGAAGCCACGGCCTTGAAGCAGCTGAGCTGGGCTGTCAAGGACAGGACTTTGGGGGGGGGATTCATTCCTAGGGTCACCATTAAGTTCGAGATGGCTTGGCAGCAAGTCAAAAAACAAAGGCAATTTCATAAATAAAGGTCCACCGAAAACAGATCACGTACGTCTTTTCCTGGAAAGCTGGTGTGCTACTTAGAGCACCTGAACACTGGATTGAGAGGCAGGATTTAAATCTCTGCTTGCATTCCAGAAGCCACTTTCATCTCACTGAAGGATACAAATCGTAACAAATGAGTGACACATCCCAGAGGGGTGCCTGTGTTAGTGTGTTACAGAAAAGCAACAGTTCTGCCGAACCTTAAAAGGCCAGAGATTTCCCGACAGAAACTTTCAAGGACCCTCGACAAAGCAAAAGCTTATGCGAACCATAAAATCTGTCAGTCTTTCCAAACTGGCAGACTCTGTTGCCAGAGCTGGGCCTGCGCATTCTTCCTTTGCAAATTTTATTCATCAGTAACAGTGGACAACTAGGTTTCCCGGAGGGACAGCAGCACATGCCGATGCTCGGCATGCAGTAAGTTTGAGCCAACTGGCACCTTCAGATATGGTTGGAAGTGATTCATCTAAGCCGCCACCAATCTCAATAGAAAACATCAGTGCCCTTTCTCCTAATGGTAGTCATATAATAGCACGGTGTAGTGGTTACAGTGACAAAGACGGAGGGCTTTCAGCATTTGAGAACCCAGTGTTTAGCTACCAAGGCAGCTCGGTTAAATTCCAAGCACTGGCAACCCAACCAAATTCGACATGGAGAGCCCCTATTTCATGTGACTTATACCAAGTCAGAGCTTAGCCCATCTGGTTGTATATCACCAAGACTCTCCAGAAAATGGCTTTCCAGGGTTTCCCCAGCCCTACCAGGAAATGCTGGGAATTGAAGCAAGAACGCTCCCTCCCTGTTCGATTCTTACCCTGTGGCATGTTGGCCCAGATGTGAACCAGTGACTCCAAGATCTATGGATGGAGACGTCGTAGGCGCAGGTCATGTGAGTTAAGCAGGAAAAAGAACAATTTCACGGATGGGTGAGGAGCCATCCAAGCTGAAGATAAATATGGACTGAGAATGAAGGGGGCAACTTGACCTTTTTGATCGCCGAAGCCCACCTTGGGGCCAAACGCTGCTTTCTCCTATTTGCCTGTGAATACAGGGTTGGTGCAGAGGGGAACCAGGGAGTTGGGACAGGTGCATTTCCCTATTGTACACTAATGCTTGTTTGCAGACGCTTCATAATTATAGCAATGGCGGCTCAGCGCTATCCTCAGCCACAGAACCCGCCAGGTGACCTTGGAGACCATCATCCCCACCTGCCTGGCGGTGGGCAGGGCGAGCCCCAGCATAGCAGGGCCGGGCCGGAGGCCACCCGAGCCGCAGAGCAGCCCATGCCCGGGAACTCAGGAATGAGCGAAGCCCCGGAAGCGCCTTTCTCAGCCCGGCAGGCGCCCGGCGGCTTGGACTGCAATTCCCATCACCCCCGCCAGCACGGACGAGGGCCGCGACCCCCAGGCTGGCCGCGGCGGGCAGGCGGCGCTGGGATGATGGGGAGGGCAGTGCAGGCCCACGCTGGCTGGGGATAATGGGCGCCCGGGCCCCGTCGCCACCGCGGCCCGTGGGACCGCGGCCCGCAGGGAGGTGGGGCGGCCTGCTCGCCTCCCGCGCCCGCGCCGGCACTCACCGCTCGCCGCCCCAGGCGCGGCGCCCCGAGCAGCCCCCGAAGGCCCGACATGGCGCGCGCCGCTCAGCCTCGGCCTCGCCCTCCGCGGTCCCGGCGGCCCCCGCGCCCGCCCTCGCGCCGCCGCGGGGAGTCGCGCGAGAGCTGGCCGGAAGCCGCGCCCGCCATCTTCCTCGAGGGAGCCCTTGCGCGCCTCTCATTGGCGGGCAGCCGCGGCCACTCAGGGCAAAGGGCGGGAGCACAGACCTTGCGCCGGCTTGTAGCCGCGATAGTCGACGGAGCCGAACATAGACCTACAAGCCGCAGAGGGGACACCTGTGCCGCGTCTGTTCCATTCTGGCGTTTGCGTTGGCCCGGGCGGGTGGGCTGCCAAGTGCCGGACCACTGCCCTCGCCAACGGATCGCCTTCCAGTTTGCAAGGCCGCCCGGGATTTGTAATGGAATCCCGGATGAACTGTGTTCACAGGACTTTGTAACCCTCATTACAAAACCCTTTAAACACCACTTGCCTGGAATACTAATGCTGCCCTACCTTGCAAGGTTGTTGTAAATAAGTCTGAGGTTGTGACACGAAACGCTTTCCACCACTCTCAAGTGCCCCATGAAAGCTAATTGTTTACTACTGTGATGACAGCCTTAGAACAGTGCAGCCCATTAAATTCAATGGGACTTCTCAGTAAGCAAGTGTGATTGCTTGAATGCAGACTGACCTGCAGGCATCCCTTCAGAAGTTTACTTTAGTGGTTTGGTGCACACTAAACAGACGGTAGTTTAGTGGCTTACACCCACATAAATATGTATCGGGCTCCAATCTTAGTCATGCTTAAAAGATCCTTTGAAATCAATAGAACTTGAGTTAATTACAATTTACTTGTGCCTTATATTTAACTGTGTTTACTCTATGCATATTTATTTGTACATATGGGTATAATCTTGTATGTATGGATTAACGGAGACGATAACCTTAGTTTAGCCTATTTTATCAGACTCTTTTAAGAGCATGGAAATAATGAATGTGAAACACTTGGAACATTAAAGTGCTTTATAAAATCGAATTACTGCATTGTGTTCTAGGACAAAGTGCCACACCTCCTCCAGCCCAAGGGGCAGGTTCAATTTTGGAGATGCTCAGGGGACACATTCCTACAGCAGATGAGGCCAAAATAACCCAAATTACCAGCATATTTCACTTTAAAGTGCTTACTGCCTGTAATTCAGCTATAGGAAAGGTCCTTCAACCTTTGGCATTATGGGAATTGTGTAAAGGACAGGAAACCGCCCGCAGTTGGTTGTGTGGGGTAGTTCAGTACAATGAACACAATGGACTTCAGAGAAAGGTTGCAACTGATTGTGTTTGCCTGATTGTAACCTACGCACACAGCATACAGGGGGAAATACCACCCCTCTGCCTTACAGGGTTGTTGTTAAGATGTCCCAGATGCCTGTGCAGAATTTTGAACATCCTAATCCACTCTACAGTGCTTGCTTGTATTTTATGTCTCCGGTCTTTTAAACATTTGCTGGAAAGACTCCTAGGGTCTGAGGACAAACCACATAGGACTGGATGCATTATCCCATCAGTCTTGTTAGGCAACGCGTAATTCCCACTTTCCCAACACAGTACAGGAGTCTGGGACTTAACCAACGCCACTGGAGTGTTCCCACTCACAAAGCCAGCACAGTATTCGTTAGAGACCACACTGGTGACCTTAACCGGGTATGTGCGAAAACAGACCCAAGGTAGTGGAGACGGGAAAAGACATTTTGCCGTCAGGGCAAAATGCTCCCTGTTGTAAGGAATACATTTAGAACTCCCGAAACTCGAAAGTGGTGCGGGCAAGGTGATGTGGAGCACAGCTGTGCCCTTGCCGGCCAAGAGCAACACAATGTTGTCGAGCCGGTGGGTGGAGGAAGAGAAGAGGTGCCCATCCTCATACCTGGCCGGGCTCCACACCTTTTGCTTCTAGGTTGGCACGCAAGCTCAGCACCCCTGCAGCTCCACCCACTGGGCAAGCCAATCTTTCAGCCCCAGGCAGGGATTCTTTGCAAAACACGCGGAGCTTTTGTGTTTTCCTTTCTTGCAAGTCCACCCAGAAGGAAAAACACCCGAGCCTTCGGTTACCAAACTGAAATAAGGCCCTTTTCCCAGCCACTTTCTGGAAGCTCCTCTCACTATATCTTGCCAAACCAAGGCACATGACATTTATATCTAAATGGAACATGTAGTAAATCTTTTTCCCCTCCACTTGCATTAGCTTAAACTTGGAGGGGGCCCTCTCTTCATCTGTCCATAGGTGGCTAGAACAAGGCTGGAAAGACCAGACAGTGATCTTTTTTTTCCGCTACTGCGGGGCTGCCAGTTCTCCCAGTGACCTAGCAGCTTCAAAGAACAGTCATGCAATACCAGCCCGGTATGGTATCCCCATTTCAGGAGGACAGATTTACTGCTCCTTCAGCTGACGCCCCTTCTCAGACACAACGCAACCCCATTAAGTCTGCCGAGCCCATTTCGGCTTCAGAGGCTCGCTCGTGGGCCTGCGTAATTTACGAGCTTTCAGGAGGTTTGAGGGAACTGAGCATCTCTGACTCGGAATCTGAGTTCTAGTGGACAATATGAAAATGATTAAAGGACAGCCCCCGAATGTGGTTTGTCTTCTGGCGCGCGGAGACGGCAGAGGAGACAGAGCAATTCCAAGGCCAACAGAATGCCTGATCCTGCTCGGGACAAGCCGCGGCCAACTCAGGCAGAGCTGCACCGGGCACTCCAGCAGGAGAAGCCACGGGTTTGTGTGCTGTGCATCACAAGAAAGCTTCTGGGGTTCAAGACTCACGGGATCGATGGCTGCCCTGCCCTCTTCGCCATCCTTGAGTCACAGCGTTACGGGAATGAGGCATGAGACTGGTGTGCTTCCGAAGAGCGCCAGACAGGTTGCACAGGGCTGGCCCACCGGTGAAGCCGAGCGAGGCAGCCACCTTGGGCCGCCGAGCGGGAGACACGGCAAACCCTGCCCGCCGGTTCTCTCCTGCTTTGCCAGGAGAGCCCACTATCGCAGCTTCCGGCAGGAGGAAAACCTCACCACCCTCAGGAGAGTGGCTGCCCGGGCTTTCTCGTCAGGACGCGGGTCGTCTCCTTCCCATGAGATTGGAAGGCGCGGCCGAGGGCTTGCGAAAGCAGCGTGCGGCCCCGCAAGGGCCTCGTGCCCACTGTCCTGGCTGCGCGGATCCCCACGAAGCCGATGCGGTGCTAAATATAAAAGGGAGAGCGAGATGGCGGGAAATGGCAGCTCATTTGCTTCTCTCTCCGCAGGTGCTCAGACGCGGGGCCAGTGCTAAGCTTGCAAGAGTGAATCTCTGACTGAGCAGCATGGTTGTCACAACAATTAAGTTAATCGCAGGGGCCTCGCCTGTTGGACCACAGCCTGCAGGTGGCCATGTTGCCGCAGTCCCAACAGCAACCAGCTTGGGGACGGTGCCCACGGGCCTGGACTGGTCACACGTGGAGGTTTTTGAAATGAGCCAAACCACAAACGTTTCCTGCCCTGCAGTGGGCTGGTAGCAAGCGCATTCCCCAAACGAGGAGCCTTGTGGAGGCGAAATCTTTTGTTTCGCTCCGGAAATGTTAGTTGTTCCAAATCAGGTGAGCAAAAAGCAGCACATGCGGAGTCATAAATCAAGGTCATCCAAAGCCAAGGTCATTCAGTATAATTCTTAGTCTATGACAGGTAAGCTTACAGAACATAAACCGGCAGAAGTAGGAGCTCAAATTCTTATGAAAGAATAAAAATGCAGTGTAAACAGCCCATACAGGAACGTGTCTGCATGCACTTTATTTCCTGCATATATATGCATAAGGATGGGATTAGCAAAGCTGCCTGAACCTGCCGAACTTGGAGGATTGCAGGCACTGTATCCATAGGTCCATTTAGCTTTTGAATAGCCTGAAGTGCCCAGTCCTTGGAAGGTAAGCAGGGTCAGGCCTGCTTGAAATCTGGATGGGTACTTTAATAGTTGGGATCCGCTCAGAGAGCTTTAGCTATGGGCAGCACAGAAATGTCATAATAATAGTTCAAGAATTCACAGCGGTCTATTTATTTATTTAATTTCTATACCACCCACTAGTCAGCCCGACTGACTCTGTTATTAGCAGCCCAACAAACACGGAGTGTGCCCAGAGGATGTATAATGCTGGACTGTTGGGAACCAGGAAAAGAAAAACTAAACACTACAGATCTCATTGCCCCAAACACACGATCAGGTAACTTATCTCACCAGGGGAGGAAAGACTGGATTAAAAAGCACAAAAATTCAAAGACAGTGCAGCCAAGAGCACCTCTTAGATGCTACACAGAGGGGAAATTTCTTCTGATATCACTGCTGTAGATCTGTTGAAACATTTGAGAGGCAGTAAACAGCACGTATCGGCCCTTCCATTACAGATCGATGCCAGCAATGTAGCAAGCAGCAGGATGCGGCCGTATGGATTGTGACACACCCATCATCCTCGTAAGCTGGAAATCAATTAATGGCAGGCCCCCCGTCTATAAAGTTTTCCTTCATCTGAGTCAGCTACGGTTGCAGTGAGGATATTTTCCAAGCATCCACTTCTTGTCACAGAGCCCGGCAAAAACAATGCAAGCAAGAGGGAGAGAGAGGACTTGCTGGCTTGGCTGATGGGGATTGTAGTTCCTACACATCTGGAAAGCCCTGGCTAGGGAGGGGGAAGGTCCTTCAAACATCTATCAGTTCCCTCTGTCTAATGTTATAGTTGGCCCCACAAACTTCTGTCTGCTTTTTGCCAGGCTGCAAAAGTAATAGAATTTAAACCAGCTTTTGTAGGAATTCAGTTTTTATTGTGTTCTCTGCCGTTGGGTTAAGCTGTTTATTTATTTATTATTTTTTTGTAGATTGCTGTGATTTTAGGTTGCATTTTTAAATCTCATTTTGTATGATATTTATATTTTTGCAAACTGTCTTCTGTACCTTCATCCAAAGAGCTGGGATATAATCCATAGCAAATGCATTCCCAGTTCTGGCTGCTGATCCCTTCGCAGCCAAACGGTGCTACCACATTCAAGGAGGAACTTTTGGCTGACTTGGGAGAACTCCAGAAGTTGCAGATGTATGCAAAACCTTTAGGAAAAGCCCAAATATCCCATACTGCCACATGTTGATGTAGATTCTCTCATAAATACGACACATCAATAGGAACGAGCCCTGTCGTCAAAACTAGGCCATTTAAGCCTCCAGCCCAATCCTTGCCCATTTACTACTGAAATCAGAGCCAGCTTATTGTAGAATAAACAGGAACAGGAGTTGTTCATCTGCGGAGCTTCTAGAAACTGCAGCCAGCAAGCTACTTCACTTCTTTGTTAGTTACCATGCGTTTTATGGCATCCCTCTTTTTAATCTGACTGGAAGCTCCCCAGGCAAAGAAAATCAGCTTGCAGTGTGACGAGGCAGAAGGAATTTTTTCGTGAGGCCATCGAGCTGCTAATGAGGAATGTAACAGGTTGGGAGTTTTGCCTTCTTTAAGCGACAAAATAAGACTAAATCTCACATGCGAAAGGCTGCCAAGAAAATTAGCTCCTGTGAGCCAATTATGGGTCCGAGGCTTAGAATGAGCACAAAGCCATTCACGGTTTAAAATAGTAAAGAAGTAAGTAAGGTTCTGATTTAATAAAAACATCGGCTGAGAAAACGTGTGCAAACCAAGCAAGGGATCTGGGGTAAATGTGTCCACGGGGGATGAAGCACATGGACAAGCTGGAGGGTTACACTTTGCGGCAATTCTCAGAATCTTGCAGCAACTTGCAGGGATAAACAGACTTTTTAGGGCTTGTATTGGAGCCCACTTTGTCACTAAGTAAGCAGAGCCCAGCTTAGAATAGTCTACGTTAAAATTATTCAGCTCATTAATTTCAGGGTGCCTGAAGACTCTCCACTGCTTTAACTCGCCTCAGCTCCATCTAGAACTGACTGCACCTCTGCATGGGTTATTCCATCACTGAAGGCTGCGTGCAAACAGATGATCGAGATCAAAAGGCTAACCAACACTAAAAACTAGTAGGAAACGATTCTTGGATGCAAATAAAATTTGTAGTGCATCCTACAATTGTGGCAGCATTTGGTGGACTGGACACTCGTTCCCAGCAAAACTGATGCGGCTTAAAAATGCACCACAATTATGAAATTAAAAATCCAGCTGCTTTTAAAGCACATCATGCGAAGGCCGGCTGGAAATCAGCAGCTGAGACAGAATTATTTGGTAAAATGTAATACTCCACACCAGATTGCAGACTGAAAAATTACAATGTGCAGCCACAACAGGTTTTCTGGGTTAGATTTTGTGTCGTGTCTTTGCAACTCCAGTAGTCCTGAATCAGAATAATCTTTACCCAGAATCACAAGGTGGATCACTCCGATGCCCTTTTTCACGTGAAAAGATGCCCTTTTTCACTTGCGGCGAAGCTATTGCCTCGTGTAGCAAATACCTGAGGGGACAGTCACTCCTCCTGAGTCCCCTGGCCAGGCACCTCTGTTGCCGTCCTGAAGCACCTGAGCTGGCCTGCAAAATCCTCCAGGTGCACCATGTGATGGAGGACACTCATCCCACCAGCAACGGGGAAGGAAAGCTCTGGCTAGCAACCAGGCTGGTCCCGCTTCCGTATGTTGTCCTTTGCCACGGGCAGCAAAATGTCTCGGCCAGCCATACTTACGGCTTATGTTTTCAGAGCTTATCGCTGTGATAAGGCAGAGATTATATCAGCATGATCCATATTAGCTGAACCACCACTCAATCTTTCTTTTCAAAATGGCCTCCAGCGTCACGGATTAAAAAAACAACAGTTGTTTATTTTTTAAGCCCTCGAAACTCGTTGGGAGCTGATGGCATTGAAGCTTAAGGACTCCTTTGCAAAGGGTGCCATGATATTGTAATGAACTTAGCAAGGAAAAAAGAGTGATTAATTAGAGAAAGACGCCCATCGTTATCCAGGATTATATCACAAGGATCTCCCGACCCAGTTTCTTCATTATAAAAAGAACTACATTTTTTCACTCTGTGCAGGAGGAAGCCATTCGATTAACACCAAAGACATTTCCATATCTTACATATACTGATTTCCAGGGGTTGGGATGTAACACACTGGTACTTGAGGGTGGTATTCAGACAGCAGTCCCTCTTCTTAACAAAAAAAAAAAAAAACATGAATTACAACATCTTTAGGACCCCCCCCAATTTACATATTTATATACATAAATGGCCTCTGTACGAGCTCAGGAACTCCAGATTCCTTCTACTTGAAATGTCTGGGGGGAAATTCCTATCTTAGGGAAAGCCAGAACTAAATCAATGGGGCTGAGATTGGCTCTCTGAGGTGTCGTGCTTAAGAAGTGATTTGGATTCTAGTCCCTGCTTGGCCATGGAGCCCAGCCCATGGACTCTCAGCCCAGCCTACCTCACAGGGTTGTTGTTGTGGGGATAAGGTTGGCAGCAGCAGGAAAAGAATGTTGGAAGCTCCTTTGAGTTCTTTGTAAGAAAATCGGGATATAAATCTAATCCGTCAATCAATCTGCAGTGTGCCCCCCTCCCGCTGGCAGAATCGCCAATACTGAACTCACATTTGTCTCTACAAAGAAAGCTGTTTCATGTACAACAAAAACTTTTTTACTATGCACTTCAGCAAAAATCATCTTCCATGCTTTCCGTGAAGCAAAAGAACCATTTTTTTGTCCGTGGTAGAGAACACAATCGCAAACCTCCCTTTTGGCTTCACGCAACATGGGAGCACAGAAAGCAGAAATACCTGGAGAAACTCTCTCTCTCTCCACCCTTCGCCTAACGTACACTAACTTAAGAAATGGATGCAAACAGACTCGTGCCTTGCCCAGAAATCACCGTGAAGAGGGACGAGAGGTGCGCGAGAGGGGTGCAGGCATCCCAAGGCATTTTGCTGGAAATAAAAGGAAAGATATAAACAGAGCTTTAAGAGCTGCGTGCGGATTTCTTCAGCACGTGTCAATTACTGCTAATATTATGCAGTTGACAGAGCTGGACATGGGCAGAAAGATTCATAGAGTGGGCTTCTCCTTCCTGTGCCTGAAGGCAGGTGGGGCCAGGGGGTTATGCCTTTTCTCGGTTGAGCCAAAGACCCTCAGAGGCCTGGAACACTTCGAATGGGCCAAATCTCTCCAGTCAAACCCCTTTGCTGGCCTGTCACCTTCCAGCCACATTTCCATCCCAAAGCCTCCCAGGGAATGGAAAGGATTCACCTGCTTAAGCTGTCAAAATCCAATCAGGCCTGAAGAATCCAAACCTGCTTACCACTGCACTGGAGCGCTTTAGAGTGGCTTGTGGGATCCTGTTCTTGTTATTTGCAAAAAGAGGAAGAGAAAGAAAGGGAAGCTAGGAAAGAAAAGAGCACATGGGGATTTAGGGGTGTGCGAAGTCTTTGTGAAATGTGGGACAAATGTGAACATAAAGACGCAGGGGTGGAAAGCAGCCTCGATTGCAAAGATTCTGCTTGGGTAGCTCTCCGGTGTAGTGGACCCAATGTTCAGAGGGACAAAGTGCAGGGACTTTTTAATTAGGAGGGGCCCAAATACCATCTGCCAACCCCCCCCCCCCCACGAGACTTGCCAGTTCCCTCTGAGCTTAGCTGCAATCCTGACAGCAGCTGGGAGAATACAGCTTTTCCGAGCAACAATATATTTTCCTCCATGCTAATGCAAAGTATTTGGGGGCAACCAGGTCAGGAAAGGGTCCTTACGGTGCATTCATGTTATACGGAAACTGCTTAGGATGTTTTACTATTTAGTGGAGTATAAACTGTACAAATATATGTGATTAGTTTTACAAAAGCCCTGTTCTGGCTAAGGCATAAAGTCTGCACCACCCAGTTTGTTAACATGGATCTCGGTAGCATCCAGTATTTTTGGACCCTCTTGGGGGTGGGCTTGGCTAAGGGGGTGAGGAGCTGCAATATTTATGGCCATGCCAGTGGGGGAGGTCATCCAGGCTGCGCCGAGACCCCAGAACCATTAGCCAGTTTGAAAATGGGGACCAGACCCCCCCCCCACAAAACAGTCTCCAAAACAGAGCATTTACTGGATCACAGTCAAACTTCTTTTTTCTCAGCTCATCACGCAGGTACGTTCTGAAGGTCACTCGTAGGCCTTTTGCACTCCCTTGACCCGGCCTCGCTTTCTGCTGAGAACCCAGCCCGGTTCTTTCCCCTTCTGATGCAGAAGGAAAGTGCCAGCTTCCCTGCTTGGCCGGATGCTATTCCTCGCATCATCAAGCGGCGGAAACGATTTATTCCCCCTCCTACAGCCAGAGGGAATGGCAGGAACGCGCACCCATCCTGTCCACAGGGAATGGGAGATGGCAGGATGGGTGGATTCCACGCCCAGCCATGAGCAAGCAGTCAAAATGGCAGGCAGGGTCAGCCTGGGAAACAGGACCTCGGACAGCACCTCGCTAACGTAAGAACCCCGCAGGATCAGACCAGAGGTCCGTCTAGTCCAGCTGTTTGCTCACACTGGGGGCAACCAGCTGCCCAGGAGAAACCTACAGGCAGGACACGAGTACGAAAGTCCCCCGCCACCCATGTTCCCCAGCAGCTCTGTACACTGGCATCCTCCCTCCGCTTCTGAAGGCAACAGAGAGTCATAAGGAGCAGAAGCTACAACCACCTCTTCCAAGAAATTTGGACAACCCTCTTTGGAAGATGTCAGATTGGCAGCCAGCACGACATCCTATGAAAACGAATTCCATAATTCAACTCTGCACCGCGTGAAGCACATTGGCTTGTTATCTCTCCTGAATCTCTCTCTCTCTCTGCACACATTTGCATGCACGCAAATATAAACCTGGCAGGTTTGTTTGTTTTCATTGGGAAAAGCTTTCCTTATGGCAAGGGACACCATGAGATACTGAAAATAGATAATTAATGACATAATGGGATGGTGCTTGTCACGTCCTGTCCAAAGGGATTACCTGATGGCTAATTATGGACAGATTGTGATTAATGTGATTATGGATTGGATATTAATCTGATTCTGGACTGATGTAGTTATGTTCTAGTCTGCTCCAAATGGTTAATTGGATCCGAGATAATAGAAAAACAGCATGAAGCAGATTTTGCCACATTGCTTAACTCCTGAAGTGGGGCTGGAGGCATACATGTTGTTCCCGAGCACTGCGGAAGCCATTGGCCAAGGTGAATATTTCCGCTTGTTCTCTGTATGTGAAGGTGCTTTCCACAGGATGTCAGAGGAAGGAGATCCATCAGTCAATTGCATTCCCAGCCTTGCAAACCTTTCCTTCGTGTGGGTAGCCAGAAGAAACTTTTCCAGCACAACCCACACGGAAAACTGTGCAGCTGTGCCAGTGTTTCAAACTGTATCTGGTACCAAACTACTGGGGGGGGGGGGGAGAGTCAGGCAATCATCTAGTCTGGAGGAGAGAAAAGGGTCTGGCCTTGTAAAGGCCCAGAAACTCAGGGATGTAAGAAGTGGTCCGGGGACAGGACAGAGAACGAAACTTATTACGAAACATTTACTGAAATCCTGTATTTACTTACCCGGCATTAAGCTCTACTGAAATCAATGGGTCGTACTCCTGAAAAAAACATGAGTGGGTTGCATCGCATATAATGTCTCTCATGGGCACCTGGAGGTCTATTTCCACATCGGGCACTTGCTGCAGACAGCTGTGTTCTCCTGAGGGCCGGTATCAATGAAGGGATGGCAGAGAAAGGGGAGGCATGGAGGCGAACGAGGGAGGGTGCCGGCTGGTACCCAGCATATTCCCACGCACCCCAGGCCCATTGGCCGTATTCCCTTCCTCCTGCACATGGGGGTCAGCATTCTGCACTCACGGAATATACGGCGCTTTCACGGCACTGCTTGGGAATTCCGTTCCCCTTTAAGGTCTTTTTGCAAACACTTATTCTGCACACCTCCGTGGTTCGGCAAGGGCGCCCTCTCCGACCTGCGCATGGCATTCCCACTGGATCAGAAGCGACAGTGAGATGGGGGAGGGGGATGCACAGAGCCTTCCCACATGCCTTTGTCTGCCTACTTCTGCAAAGGAGCCTCAACTGGAGCCTGGCAGGGCAGTGGGGTGCCTGGAACGTCATGGCACCCCAAAGCCAGTTATGTGTTTGATCTGTTTCTGGTCTGCCATTCTGGGGCTCAGGAGCATCAGGCATCTCATCGGTGGCACCAAGCTCACCATGAAATGACACGGTATGCAAGAAAGCACAGAAGCAAGAGAAATGCAAGTGGTGGGAACCAAACAGGAAGCTGAACCATGCGGTCTGGGCACACTTGGGTATTTATTAGTCCCAGTTGGCTGGATGGCGATGGTACTCATCTCCTTCACAGGCTCGAGCGGATGAGCATTAATGGGTCACTTCTGGGATCACGGATCTCCTCTGGGCTCTTTTATTTCTGGCCATTAAACCCTCTTCCTCCTCCATCATCTCCCATTCCCAGATCGCTGTTCTGGCTCCCTTGTCCGACATCCGTCTTCTGTCCATGCTCCTCCGGAGTCCTTCCAAGAAGCCATTCTGGCTCATGACGCCCAGAATCATGTGGCGAGTGGCACATTTGGTGAGGGACCATCACTCCGTGGCCAAGCACATGATCCGCCCGCAGAGGATTCTGGGTCCCGCCTGCGGCACCTCCAGCTTAAAACAGTCCCAGGTCATGTGACCTTGCTGCTCCAAGACCCAGGCAGACAAATCATCTAAGGGGGCTTCTGCTGGACACTGACCAGGTGCAGTGAAGGTTCTCCAGGACACCTGCATTATGGACCTTCCGGCCAATTCCAAAGCAGGGTTGCTTTTTTCTCGGCTTGCAGAGAAACACATAATTTTTTCAGCAGCTTTGAAGCAGGGTTTTTCCACACTGTGGTTTCTTAAAAGTCCGTTTAGACCTGGTCGGGCTACAGTGAAATATAGATTTTGGAGTGGCTGCTTTGGTTTCACCCCAGAGTGTCTCATTCACTGCTCCTTGTATCCGACTCTCTGACATTCCGTCCTGGAGGCATTCCCTCGCTCTTCCCAGGCACCCCGGAGTGGCCATAAGCCATGGTGGCGAACATGCACGGCAGAGAGAAAGACCCAGGTTTGATTCCCGGACTCTCCAGTCAGGGCTATGCAAGACCATTGTCTGAGATCTGGGAACGCCACTGCTGCCAGTCCGTGTTGACACTATAAAGCTTGATGGACCACTGCTCCAGACTAGCCAGAAACAGCTTCCTCCCTGCCTCTTGGCTTTAATGTTATTCAACATTTATATGCTGTGCTTTATGTATTAAGAAGGGCCTCAAGGAGCTAATGATAAAACAGAAGCATAATCAATAAAACAGAATATTTAAACACTCATGCACGCATGAGCACCCATAAAACCATTGAAACAGCAACTTGGCATTTTCCAAGCATCAGCAGCAAAAACTTTTCTGTGCCAAATGCCAGGCAGAAAAGATGTTTTTACAGCCTTCCCAAAGCTGCGCAGCGGGAGTGCCAGGCAGTTTTCTAAAGCTTTCGGTGTCATCCAAAAAGCTGGCCACCTCCAGGTCATGGCCCCGATCCAACAGGCACAGAGGCGGCCCAGACGCAGGAGTTCTCCCCGAGCGGTTTGATTCAGGGGCTGGAACTCCGCACCGACCATCTTTTCTGCAGGATGGGAGTTTCCCGTTAGCATCAGAAAGGCTTCCTCCGTAGCAAGTATAAAAACTGGCGCCGGGCAAATTGCGCAGTGCAAACCCGCGAGGGCTTGGGGGGCGGCTGCGAGAGCAGCTTTTCCAATCCGGATCTATTTAGTGCGCGTTCAGGACCGGATTCTCCAGGCACTTCGGCATTTCTGGCCTGGGCTCTGCTAGCCGCCCCCGCGAGGGGCTCGAGGGGTCCCGGCCAGACCAGGATGTAGCCGGTCATTCCAGCCCCATCGCACAGCCTGCCAGGCAAGGCAGACGAGGGCCTTCCGGTGCCCCCCTCCTGTTGGGGGGCACGGCAAGCACCTCCAGCTGTGGGGACCAAGGGGGGCCTCTCCGTTTCCCACAATGCCCCACCGCGCGCCCGGGCTGGGGCACTCTGGGAGATCCCGAGCAGGGTGGGCGGCGGCAGAGGCCCGGGCCGCTTTCCGGGCCGCGTGGGCCGCAGAGGGCGGGGCCGGGCTCCCCCCTGGCAGCAGCGGCCGAGCCCCAGGAGGGGCGGCCGGGCCCCCCAGCGAGCCCCTGCTCCGCGGGCGCGGGCCGGGAAGCGGGCGGCCTCAGGGCCTGCATGCGGCGGCCGCATGGAGCGGGCCGTGGGGCCTCCCGCCCGGGCGCCCCCGCGGCCTCACCTGCGCCTCTCCCCGCCCGGGCCCGGCGGGCGCCGCTTCTCGCCGCGCCCGCCTCCTCCGCCCC